GCGTCAGCGGGTGTCCGGCACGGCTGGTGGCACCGCGCCGCCCGAGGAACATCAGCGCCGAGAGCGACACACAGTACAGGCCATGGCACACTACTACAGAGCGAGATCTGTCCCAGCGGCGGCCAAACGGGTGCCGCACCCGACTGCCGAGCGGCGGGCAACAACGTTCAAGGTTTGAGCCACGCTGGATGCGATCGTGACTTATTTTGTACGCCTCCTCGCTGCGCAACGCTACTACTGCATTGCACGATACAAGCCCCCCGTGCGCGCGTGTGTGTCTGTGCGTGTGTGCGTGCACGCGTCTGTGTGTCTGTGCGTGTGTGCATGCTTGCGTCTGTGTGTCTGTGCGTGGGTGCGTGCGTGCGTCTGTGTGTCTGTGCGTGGGTGCGTGCGTGCATGTGTGTGCTTATCGTCGTTGTTACCTTGTGACAGGCTAGCAGGACGCCTGAGGCCCTCAGGCATTCCTTAGAGTTCTCCAGCTGTTCGGAGTATTTCACGCTCATCTCCTCCCAGAATCTGCCAACGAGATGGAGCTGGGGTGGAGCACGTTGGATATTCTCAGAACTGTACGAGGAGAAACATCAAACACTTCCAGGCAGAGCGCTGTTGCCAGTCGCAAGGGCGGCTCATCGCGAGCTTCCCCAGTCCACTCCACTCTGTCCAGCAGTTTTCGAGTCTGTCTGCCGAGAAAGCGACCGTCGGATCATCGAGAACCCAGCCGGCAGAGCACCCTCGTTCTCGAGTGTTCCAGTGATAAGTTAAGAGGTGGCTATAGCCTGAGGCAACCGGCAGACGGCCGCGCCAATACAGCTATAAGCAGTGCTCCACATTTGAGGGCATTGAAGCAGGCATGATGAAATAAGCTCACTTATGATTACTGGTATGCTTTCAAGTAGAAAAGACTGCCCCAGGCAACACAATTTCTCCGTTTAGTAAATATGCCCCTCAATATGTCATTGACTGCGTCATCGTACCCTGCACACTGATGGAGAGCCAACTGACGGCCTGTACCTGAAAACCGTGATCGCGAACGCCAACTATGAACGACTACAAATCATATGCCTTTTGGCATTTATCGTCGCATGGCTGATGTATTGGCAGGTTTAGAATGACGTTAATATGGCGTTGTGGACGCCTGGGTGAAGTTGAAATAGTCTCCCCGAAAGAGTCTACACATATTCGCGGGCGTGTGGCTCAGGAGCTAGAGCGGCTTAGGGCTGAAAAGGGGCAGGGTTGTGAACTGCACCGAATGATCTTCAAGATGACTGCTTCAGTTCAAAACCCCACACAAATGTGGAACATCCCCTTTAAATGCAAACCGGTCGACCCCGAGCCTAGGAAAGGAGCTCATGCCAAGAATCCCCTGGATGGATGAGGTCGGATGAGGGGAGGGGGGGGGGGGGCGCTGACTAGCATGACATGGGAGGCCCGAGCAGCCCCATTGGAATCAGCGTACGACATCAAGGCCCCCTCGCACTCCTACCCGGCCCAGGGGGAACTCCGGACTCCGGGCGCTGGTCGGGCCAGCGCCGCCACGGCCCCGGGGGGCGGTGGAGCTCACCGGTAGGAGACCATGGGCGCCAGGGCGAGCAGCTCGTCCGTGAGGCGGGGCCTCGGCGGCGGCTGCGGCGCACCACCGCTGCCTGTCGCCTCGCCACACAACCGACATCTGCAACCAGCTGAGCGTGACTCCGCTGAGACTCGTGGTGCGACACTGGGGGCGTACAGACGGTCAGCGACGCAGCACGACACCGCTGGTGGTGCGAGGCTGGGGGGCGCTAAGAACGGTAGCAGCGACGGAGCACGACACGGCTGGTGGGTGCGAACTGGTGGGCGCTAAGACGGTCAGCGGTTAGCGACGGAGCCCGACACGGCTGGTGGTGCGAGACTGCGGGGGCGCTAAGACGGTCAGCGACGGAACGCCGCACGACTGGTGGTGCGACATTGGGGGCGCTAAGACGGTCAGCGACGGAGCACGACAGCTGCTGGCGGTTGCGACACTGGAAAGAGCGGGACACATAGCGAACAGGCCAGCCTCGTCGATGCCACCGACAGAGCGTGTCACCGACAGAGGTCGTGATTCATTGATGCGGCACAGAGCAGGCCGCTGGGGGCGCACAGGCAGCGAAGGCGGGTGCCGGCGCCACTCGTAACACGCCACCTCTGAGGACGGGCCCAGACTGACACGCCACCTCTGAGGACCTGCACCCTCTGAGGACCCTGCACCCTCACCAGCCATGTGACCGAGCTTAGAAAGTGTGTGTGGAGACGAGATAGCGCCTCTGCACAGCACGCTGGGCTTAGTCCTCTAATGTTCCCAATACATGTTTTGGCACAAAATGCCCACGGATGTCGACGAGCCCTTACGCTGAAATAACAACGGCTAACGTTCCCACTATTTTTCCCCATGTTCTGACGCTAGTACTGGCCGCCGGAGCACGCACTCTCCATGTCGACCAGCTCCCGGAGAGCCGCGTCATCGCCGAACAGGCCCAGGTGTTTCCAGCGCTGGCCGTCGGCGTCGCTGGCGTCGCCGGGCGCCAGCAGGTGCTCCAGGTCAGCCTGACTGTGCACCTTGCCCCCGGTTCTCGGCCAGCCCGGTCAGCGGGAACAGCGAGCGCTGGGTGCGCGTCTTGCGCCCCTCTCCCAGCTCTGCACGACAGGGGGCGCTGCTGAGGCCGTGACGCAGGTCGGGCTTTTATCATTAAGGCCTCGAGGGCCCGGGAAAAAGAAGCGCGATCAAGCGCGACCGATATCATCAACTGCTGCGCATCCTGCCGTTCAAACAACACAAGCAGCGTAGTATATTTCACAAGCTCTATCGCAGCAACCAGTATAAAATGCTATCACATCAACAAGTCAGGAAATAAGATGCGTCGATACACATCATAATGTAGTTATCAAAACTGCACTCAAGGGAAAAGCCAGGTATCTTCGATCTAACTACGCTCGTTCGGCATAAAGACCCACGGAGAACGCAACAGCAGTAAGAACGCATTGGCCTTAATTGATTGGGGGAATGGGCCTTGTTTCATGCCAAACATCAATTACAATATTTTTTTGCTCAGGATATGCTACTAAGCATCTATGGTCAGCAAGCAGCATTGCTATGCTTTTACACGAGTGGTCTCGACGAAAAAAAACACGATGACAGGCCTCATTCGGTTTCTAAGAATGTGGTATCCAGTAAGACAATTGCTCTCGGGAAAACAAGACCATGCTCAAACACATCAGTCGTCAGGCATCCTCCTCTCCGCCTCCCTCTGTCCACGCTCTCACTTCACCTCTCTCCACCCTTGCCCCCCCCCCCCCCCTCCGTCTGCAGACCCCTCACCTCTGGGCTGGGCGGCCGCAGCGGACGCTGGCCGGTCGTCGCTGACGTCCGGGTCATCGGCAGCAGGCCGGGGCCCGCTCCGCTCTTTCCTGCTGGCGGCGGGCGGAGCCGCGCGCTCGCTCTCCGCCGCCGCCACTGTCGGCATACGGGCCCGTCACGTCCGGACGCAGCGAGAGCCCACCGGGGCAAGGAGTGTGGGCGGAGGACGTGAGACTGTCTGCCCTGAGGTTCGACACGACCCGGTATGAATCTAGAAATACCATGCCTTTCTGGCAAACATTGTGTTGCGTGTAGAAAAGTAATTCAGTGACAAAATCAAGTCAGGTTCCCGCTTTAAGCAATGCTTCAGTTCCCATCCAAAAGAATCTGTGCCAACATTCTCTACATGACTGCGAGGACCACAAGAATCAGTGCACACGGCAAGCAGATGCTGGAATTAAAGAGCTGCTCCCAAGCGCACAAATATGCAACCCCGTCACCCCCGTAACAACGCCGCGTCAACCCCGCCATTCCCACGCCCACCCCATGACCGCGCGCCCGGCCACCTATCGTCACCTTTCTCGGGCAGGGCGGTGCCCTGCCGATCGACGCTCCACAGGTGGAGGGCGCTGTCGTCGCCGCCGCTGAACACCCAGCCGGGCCGGAGCGGGTGCGGCAGGCAGGCGCGCGCCGGCCGGCCGTGGCCGCCGTACACGGCCAGCAGCGCGCCCTGGCTCGTGTCCCACACCTGGCCGTGGAAGCGCCGGACGCCCGTCACGTGCCGGTCACCAGAGGGACCGGACGCGGGGCGGTCACGAGTTGCGATGGCGATGGCGAGGGGTTTCCGCCACGTGTACCAGCTTTTATAATAACCGCATGCATTAGTGACGCGCGTGGCCATGATGGGTGGGGCGCAAACGATGTGTTTACCGCCGATTACTGAAATGTAGCGAAACAAAAAATAGACAAACGCGAAGACAGAATTTAAATGAAGACGTCCAATCACAATGACAATATTCACAGCTATACCATAATGCCGCTGCCATCGCAATGATAACCATTTATCCATGTACGACCAGGAGCGTGCTCCGGTCTCGTCGGCCAGTCCCGACCCGGCGGTGGTCTACCGACCCTGATGGAGGCGTCCTGGGAGGCGGAGATGAGCCGGCCGGTGGTGTGCGGCGACCAGGCCAGGTCCAGCACCTTGGACCGGTGGCCGCTCAGCGTCACGGCCGGCTGCAGCAGGTCCGGACAGGCAGAGTCACCTGGCGGCGGCAGCGGCGACGGCAGGTCAGAGGCCGGCGAGCGCAGCCGAGGGCGAGACCGGTGGCGGCGCGGCACCACATACCGGGCTTACCTCGATCACGCGCTTGTGACAACGTTGAGACAACGACGACGACGGGACATGAAATAAACCGCTAGTACGGTCAGCATTCACCACGCGCACACAGTGCACGGCGACACACAGGGCGCGCGCATCCACCATTTGACGGATGGTGGATGCGGTGATGACGGACGGATTTTGGACAGAACCCGCAAGCTTCGGATAATCAATGCTAGAATGGATCTTCGTGCCGGTGAGCTGCAGACCTCACATCAGAGAAGGCATGCAACTTCTGGGCCTGACGATGGGAGCACGGACACAGTTCACACAGGTGTGACATGCAATCCTGTTTGACCCCCTACAAGATATTGAAAAATCGTGGAGTTAGACAAGACTGCCCCCCCCCCCCCCCTCACACTCACCTAGATCCGGCACTACAAACACGCTGACGTGAGAGTCGTACGAAGCGACGGCCAGCGCGGTGGAGGCGTCGCCGGGCTGCGGCTGCGGCGCCCAGCAGAGCGCCGTCACCAGGCGGCGGTGGCCGAGCGCCGCGGCGCGCCGCTGCCCGTCCGGCGCCAGCAGCTCGACGGCGCCGTCCTGGCGACCGAGCGCCGCGCCGCCGCCGCCCCAGCTCAGCTGCGAGCAGGGCGCGCGGCCGGCGGCCGGCGCCCAGGTGGCGGCCGCCAGCCGGGCCGGCTCGTGCCGCCACAGGGCGCCCAGCGACAGCGAGAAGAGCGCGCCGGTCGGCCCCCACGTGACGCTGTAAACGGCCCCGGCGTGGTGGTCCGGACAGAGCTGCGGCGGCCGGCTCGACGCCGGGTCGCACACGCCCACGCGGCCCTCCGCCGTGCCGAAGGCCAGCCGCGTGTCCTTGGACGGGTGCCAGGCCACCTGAAGCCGGGGACAGACCTGAAGACGGGCTACCTGAAGCCGGGGACAGACCTGAAGACGGGCCACCTGGAGACGGGGACAGACCTGAAGACGGGCCACCTGAAGCCGGGGACAGACCTGAAGACGGGCCACCTGAAGCCGGGGACAGACCTGAAGACGGGCCACCTGAAGACGGGCCAGCAGAGCGGCGCGTGAAGCGGGGTGGCAAGCGGGTGAGGAGGGACGGGCGCTGGCGTCAAGGACTCTCTGCAAACAGCTGCACTAGTCAGCGCGTCGTCCGCGGCGTTTCCAGACACGCAATCACGCACGCATACACTGGTGCGCGCAGCGGGTGGACGCCGCCTACCGTCAGCACGCTGGCCTTGACGGCCTGCCAGATGGACGTGACGCTGTAGGAGCAGTCGGCGCCCAGGTTCCAGACCCGGATCGTACTGTCACCGCACCCGACGGCGACCCTGCAGCACAGGCGCGCCGGTTACCGGCCTAACCAAACGGCCGACTACGCCGCGTTCAGTGATAATGGGCGCTTGGTATTCTGCGTTCTGGTGTTGACGATGCTGCACCTCAAACGTCGAAATATACGACCATGTTCGGATTTTGCATTACGACGGGCCAGTCAAAAGCCATCACACGTGTACCTTCCAGCTCCTCAAATCAATCACCACATGCCATAACTGTACTAGCCTGCAGACGACACAGAAGAGTACGACTCCACAGCAAACTCGACAACTCCAAACGCCTTGAGGGTAGCACCATGGCCCACCTGCCGGGGTCGACGGGGCAGCAGTGCAGCGCGTTGACGTGTCCGCCCAGCGAGGGCACGGCGCTGGTGAGCAGCGAGCGCGGATCGTGCGCCACCAGCTGGCGCTCGATACCGCTGCTCACCACCATCTGCCCCAGCCGCACCAGGTTGAACAGGGTGCTGCCGTGGAGCCGATGCACCACCTGCAAGCCGACGGGATCAGCTGGTGGACGCGGACCGAGAGGGACACGCGCAGGTCGGCTAGTTGGGATTCTTTATTTCTTCTGGCAGGTGCACACTCACTGACCGTTTTCGTTCAGGCATACCTGGGGGTCACAACTTAAACGCTATTTCACGTAGCAGCTGCTGCCCTTCTCCGTCATCTCCCCCCCCCCCCCCCCCATGACGATGGGCAGCCCGTCATTACCGTATTCATCTGTGCTCTCACCCGACAGTCGACAGACCCATCCTACTCTGGCCGGACGACTGTCAGCCCGCCTGGCCGTTGCCCCGATCGTCCGTCGCCTCACCTGGCAGTTGTCACTCTCATCCGACTCTGGCCAGACGACTGTCAGCCCGCCTGGCTGCTGCCCCGCTCGTCCGTCACCTCACCTGGCAGTTGACAGACTCATCCGACTCTGGCCAGACGACTGTCAGCCCGCCTGGCTGCTGCCCCGCTCGTCCGTCGCCTCACCTGGCAGTTGACAGACTCATCCGACTCTGGCCGGACGACTGTCAGCCCGCCTGGCTGCTGCCCCGCTCGTCCGTCGCCTCACCTGGCAGTTGTCAGTCTCATCCGACTCTGGCCAGACGACTGTCAGCCCGCCTGGCCGTTGCCCCGCTCGTCCGTCGCCTCACCTGGCAGTTGTCAGACTCGTCCGACTCTGGCCAGACGACTGTCAGCCCGCCTGGCCGTTGCCCCGCTCGTCCCGTCGCCTCACCTGGCAGTTGCCACTCTCATCCGACTCTGGCCAGACGACTGTCAGCCCGCCTGGCCGTTGCCCCGCTCGTCCGTCGCCTCACCTGGCAGTTGTCACTCTCATCCGTTAGCCGCCAGCGTAGCAGCTGGCCTGCCAGTCCGCTGCTGTAGAGGCAGTCGGCAGAGCTCCACAGCACGCTCAGCCAGGTCCGCTCGCCGGAGGGGGCGCGGCGCGACCCCTCCGGCGCCGTCACGCGCTGGGTCACGTGACAGCGGCCGCCACGCGTGCCCCACACCCTGCCGGCGGACGGCCGCCCACGGTCTCAGGCTTCGCGCCGCTACAGCTCCAAGCCGGCCACTGCTAACCATGATAACAGCTGTGAAATCGTTCTTTCCAGAACACTGATGTTTATGAGATTAATGTCATATAGGTTAACAGAGAAGTCTTTTGATGACTGAAACACTGACGTTGCTGACGATGGCAATGACCGTCATTTGGTAAGCAATGAGTTTGCACACAAGACGCACGTGGACGTATTTTTCTCTGAGAACACACATGTTTAAACACAACTCGACATTTACCGTAGCGTTTGTCCTTGGCGACGGACGCCAGCAGGTGATCCTGCTCGAAGGAGAGCAGCGTGTTGAGCTCGGGGCACCAGCTGATCGAGGTCACGTCCTCGTCGTGGCCGCGCATCTTCTGTAGAATTCGGCCGCCGGCTGAGATGAAGACAACGCGGCGACCGTATAAGTTAGTCATGTGAACAGGAGAGCAGTTCAACGCACTGGTCAGCATACTGCATGTCAAAAAGCAAAAACAGAACAACCTTTGCACCAGTGCATTGACAACCTGTGCACATATCTTATTTGCATGTGTATTGGGTGCAGGTTAGACAGAAGACCATTGCCAAGTATAAACTACTTCTCCAGCCACTAAGTGACTAAGTTCTTGACACTCAGAGCACCCTACTGAGATAACCGACATCAAACCACACATTACTGAACATCAGCAAGCAAGCAAAAACTGTGTTCATTTATCCTCGGCAGCAGTCAGTGCCACCTACCACGATGGTACAGACGAGGGTTTTGCTACCTTTCAGGGGGACAATCCAAGTGGGAGGCAGCCCAAATGGCGGCTAGTCAGCGTTACCTGCCAGTGAAACCGTCCAGAGGGCGCCGCGCCGCCCGGCCACGGCCACCACGTGCTCGGTGTGCGGTGAGCAGCGCAGGTCAGTGGGTGCCAGACGCTCCAGGAAGAGCGTGCGCGTGGTGTGTGCCACCGTGTCCCAGACGACGAACGAGCCGCGCTCGTCCACCGACACGGCCACGTGCCGCGAGCGCGCCGCGTGGTCTACGGCCACCACCTTCAGCTTCTGCGGACAGGTACGCGCCGGCTGCATCACACAAGGGGACGGCACGCAGTGCCACAGCTTGGTGACGGCCAGTTACCACGGCGCCAAATCTGGGGCTTCCAATGGCATGCAATATGTCCCATGGCACTTCAAAAAGAGGGTTCTGCGCATGTGACATGTCTAGTGCCACCACAGTTGTGTCATGCTGCAGCCATTTGTGGCAGCATGGATCTCCAAATGTTATTATATGGTTCAGTCAGTATGCACTGGCACTATTGTGTCACCATTTTTTGCATCATAAGCACATTCCTTTACTTGTACTTGATGCCAGCGACAGTGGCCATACCTTATCTATCATGAAATCAGAACACACTTGTGACTGCATTTCAGATGACACCTTGCACACATGCACACATACATGCCCATTGTGCTGCTTCTCGCAGTGGGCCTGGAAAGTGCTGTCCTCCTCAGTGAAGGTGCACCGCCACAGCTTGAGCAGGCCGTCTTCGCCGCCGGTGACCACGTGCACGTCAGCGGAGTCAGCCGGCCGCCACACCAGCGCGCTCGTGGCCCGCTCGCGGTGCGCGTCCCAGATAACGCCGTGACAGCGGAGCGCTGGCGGAGCGCCATCTGGCGCCGCGTGCCAGCTCCACACCACCACCGAGCAGCGCGCGCAGCTGACCACCAGTGAGTCACCATCCGAGGCCACGGCACTGGCGCTGTACCAGTTGGCCGATGGTGGTAAGCAGATGGTCTTCATGGCTGCCATGGTTGGGTGATGACTGTGCTGCAGTTGAAGTGGTGTAGCCTGAGGCAATGCAAACTGACGATGTTTTGGGTGGCAGTACATAACTGGGCCACTAAATCTTCTCCACCATGCAATGACAGCTATTGACCTATGAGAGAAAGCAGGATGGGATGGCTTGTCTGTGAACTGGCAAATGGAGGATCAAATGATGGTCCATTACCTACTAATCACCCAATAGTTAGGTGGTCCCACTTTCCAAGAGCATAGGCAGCCACACTGCAGCTTTCAACATGCTGCTGATTTGAGCTTTAGGCCAGCTGAACTTTGTGTCTCAGAAGCTGGGGACTGGGAGAGAGAGGGAGGGGGGAGGGGAGTGGGTAGTCTGGTCCACCCATGCCCATTCCTGTGGAAGTGTTGTGCATTTCCACTCTCATGTGGAGGCTGTTAGAAAAGATGTCACCACTGGCAGGTTATGACAAGAGCCATTTGTTCTATGGCATTCTGGATGTGGATTGCTGAGGGGCAATACAGGTGAGTGCCAAAGGAACTTATCATGGCTTACACAAACACATTGTGCATGAATCATCCACTTTAGAGCAGAAAACCCCACTCACAATCAAACAACAGCAAGATTATATTATCTGGCATTGCAAATATGACAAATATGACAGCGACTGTATGCACTATATCAAAACATTGACAGCACTATGCCATTACAGTAGATCACAGTTTGCCTTATGCCTCTGCAGCTTTTGCACACTGACCATCAACAGGTCAAGACAATTGCCGATTAGATCTAAATATCAACTTGGGTAATGTAAGATTGGGTTAGGTTAACATATCTTAACTTTTTGTTAAATACTTGTTAGCTTTTGTGTTTCTTTGTCTTCATCAAAAAGACAACAACATTGTATGAATACAATCATGCTTAAGGGTATTGTTCTTCTTCTGTATAAACAACTTCTAAGATTCACGTAAGCATGCAGTGTCTGGTTTATGCATGTAGTTGCGCACCGCAGTTCACCTCATCATTTAGCCAACCAGCAAAAGTTCCCAACACATAATAGCTTGAGCCGCCAATTAAAGCAAGCAAGCCTACCGATAAAAAATTCGAAATCAAAGCGAACTCCTAGAGGCAAATGGATCAACCCGGTCTTTAACTCACTGCTGCCCCCTACGCACCCTGCCCCGTCAATACACGTGCGCTCTCCGTCCAGAACGTCCAGAACGTCCAGAAGTGGCGCGTAAAGGAGGCCCAGTCGTCAAAGAAGAAAACTCATACTTCGCTCCCTTATTTATGCTTCCTTTGAAGTTCGTCATTTGCGGAAAGCCGGTTGCGGCTAGTTTGTTGTTACTGCTGCGTGGTCATTGAGTGGTGGCGCTACGTAAAGTGCTAGGAGGGTTTGAAGTAAGTGAATGTAGACGTTGTAACAAGTTTGAGAGCTTCGATGATGATTTGGGGTTTGGGGAGCATCGACTGTTGGATGGCTTTAACACGGTTTCTGGTTAAATTGAGATTGCATTCATTCAGCCGCTAAGCGAGTGCCTGTATCCGGTCAGTGCGAGTTTTTCTATCTCATTATTTCACTGTTCAAATTCATTACCTGCATGTGTTGGCATATGCATGCTTGCGTGCCATGGCAAAGGGGAGAGGAAAGAGCATATGCTCCCAGTTACTGTGCATATGGCAATGGCACAGATACAAAACTCCATTATTTGTTTTGATTTTATTTGGGGATTTTATCCAAACATTTTGATTGGATACTGTCCTGGGATCAGCACTCATTGTCAGCATTGGTTACTGCTTGAGCTCTGCTCCCACCATTGGTCATGAGACTCCAGGCCAACCACAAAGTTTATTATAAGCATGCCACAATGCTCACTGCTCAGCATGGTTGGCCTATGCACAGGTGTCAGTTTGTATCCTTAATGATGAGCCACTGGCCCTTCAAAGTCCAATTTCCCCCCTAGCAGTTGTTTAGCCCCCTGTCCCAAAATCTTCAAGAGCTTTGATATGTACATACAAAACATTTTAACTAAGCTAAAATTGTACTAATTTTACAAATTCTAATAGTTGTTTCAGGTGTATGCTAAATAGAGCAAAAAAAGTAAAAACTGTGAGTTTAGCTTTTTCTCTTAATTGCAGCTGGCAAAGCTCTAGACTTATAGAGGCCTGTGTTTTTATAGTGTTTACTGCGGCATTTTGTCTTTTTGTTGTAATCTGCATGTTTTAGTTGCATTATTCATGTGTGTTGCTAACTCTGGTCTAGTTCGTATCATCACATGTGTGTTTCAGCATTATTTATTGATGTATCAAGTTCTAGAGGCTGTTACATGCTGGTTTGCTGTGATTTTCTGTTACCTGTTATGAGAGAGTCAGGTGGAATATTAGCACCCATTAATGGACAGCATTGATAGTAGCTTTGTTTGAAAAAACCTTCAAATGTGGACATCTCTACTTTGGCATGAATATTCATTGGAATAATAACAAAAACCTGACATGATGTAAAAAACACTAGGTGTTTCAGGTAACACCCAGTGGTAGGCCCAAGCTCGCGTGACAGAGACCCGGATGACACCACACATAGCCACAACACCAGCACAAAGTCGGCGACACCCGAAGGCAGGCCCGAGCTCGCGTGACAGACCCAGATGACACCACACATAGCCACAACACCAGCACAAAGTCGGCGACACCCGAAGGCAGGCCCGAGCTCGCGTGACAGACCCAGATGACACCACACATAGCCACAACACCGGCGCAAAGTCGGCGACACCCGAAGGCAGGCCCGAGCTCGCGTGACAGACCCAGATGACACCACACATAGCCACAACACCAGCACAAAGTCGGCGACACCCGATGGCAGGCCCGAGCTCGCGTGACAGACCCAGATGACACCACACATAGCCACAACACCAGCACAAAGTCGGCGACACCCGAAGGCAGGCCCGAGCTCGCGTGACAGACCCAGATGACACCCACACATAGCCACAACACCAGCACAAAGTCGGCGACACCCGAAGGCAGGCCCGAGCTCGCGTGACAGACCCAGATGACACCACACATAGCCACAACACCAGCACAAAGTCGGCGACACCCGAAGGCAGGCCCGAGCTCGCGTGACAGACCCAGATGACACCACACATAGCCACAACACCGGCGCAAAGTCGGCGACACCCGATGGCAGGCCCGAGCTCGCGTGACAGACCCAGATGACACCACACATAGCCACAACACCGGCGCAAAGTCGGCGACACCCGAAGGCCATTCACGGTGACTGGACGGTCGGTCGTATGACTGCGATTTTTAGCTGGCTCACTTGAGATCTCAGCAAGCTGTGGGCAGTCACAACAGTTGACATAGCATTTAAGGGGAATTCGGAAATAACTAGGTCAGTTTTACCTGTTAGAACAAGCCCTATTTCTGTCAGCCAGCCAGCAGTGAGCTGTAGGGCTCAGACTGTTCTGTTCAAACTCAGAGTCGGGTATCCGGTCGAAACGAAAGTCCGACGAAATTAAGACCGAGGCTGTCAGTGAAGTGGACGCTGAATTCTGATAGCGTGAGGCACATAATATTTGAAATATTAATGCAGTTGGGTTGTGTCTCGTTTCAGGGAGAACACTGCAATGTTTGAACAACCAAGCCGAAGCAGCAGCGCCCTGGATGCCTTTCCAGTCCACTTCGCCTGTCGCGAGGGTGATGTGCAGGCTTTAGCAGAGTTTGTGGCAATGGGAAAAGACAAAAGCCACCTGTTAGTTGAAGACAATCTCTACCATTGGACACCAATGCACTGGGCAAGCTTCTTTGGACAAGTAAGCCCATGTGCTGTTGTGAGCTGGGGGGTTAGTTGATGCTGATCTCTGAATTTTTTTGCAATGGACAAACTTCTTTTTTGCACAAATTGTTTTAAGCTGCTGTGCAAATGAATGACATTCAGTTCTATTGCAACCATGATTGGTGAGTATAATGTTTGAAAAGGATTAAAATGGCTAATATTCCACACATTTTCAGCTTCCGTCCCTGATTGTGCTGCGCGAGGCCGGTGTTGCGGTGGACACCACCACTGCCAGGTTTCGGCAGACGGCGGCCCATATCGCAGCGTTTGCCGGCTCTGATCACTGCCTCAAGTACCTGATCCATTTTGGCTGCAATGTCAATGCTCAGGTAGTTCACTATTGCATGAGGAGGTAACTTTTTACAGATGCCAGTTATTAAAAATTGTGTGTATTGACGGTGCATGCGATTTTTGGATTGACAGTTCACACAATTTGTATGTTGACAGTACACATGAGTTTTATGTCGATAGCATCGTCTTTACAATATGTGTGGTGATAAAGTGAGGAGTCATCAAGCTTGAAAATTATGGAAGTTGATAGTGTTGTTCGCAATGCAATGTGCAGGGTTTTGGGCATCCCTCTTAAAGACTATGCCAGGCTTCAGGCAACAGCCACGCAGTGAACGTCATTGAAGCATTTCGTTTGATCACCAGCGCTGTTCCTGGCACTCATGCGCTGGCTATGCATTCCGTTTTATTTTCTGTGTAATCCGCGCCACGAGAACTGTGGGCAGGAGACCAGCCATCTCATTTCCAATACAGATCTGAGTCCCAATGGCAGCAACACAAACTCTTGCACGCACCATCGCTAAGCCTAGATACCTGTTGCCGCCAGGTGGGAGGTGCCCAGTGTCCCTTGTATGTTGAAGTGCGCTGCATGCTGGCTGCAGGACTACCTGTCGCCGCCAGGTGGGAGGTGCCCAGTGTCCCCTGTATGTTGAAGCACGCTGCATGCTGGCTGCAGGACTGCCTGTCGCTGCCAGGTGGGAGGTGACCAGTGTCCCCTGTATGTTGAAGCGCGCTGCATGCTGGTTGCAGGACTACCTGGGCGAGACGCCGCTGCACAAAGTGGCGCGCACCGGGTCAGTGGCGTGCGTCCGCGCGCTGGCCGACGGCCACGCGCTGCCCTCTGTTCATAACAACAGTGGTCAGACGCCAGCCGGCCTGGCTGCCGCCTGCGGCCACCCGGAGGTCACCCGCTGCCTGCTGCAGTATGAACAGTTCGTCAGTCAGCAGAACGGTGAGTGGTGCAGTATGTACCGTGGCGGCTGGGCCATCGCTGGCGCTTAAACCGCTGAGAGAACGGCGAGCGACAAGTGCTGGGTGGCGCTGTCGCTGCAGTGGTAGGGTCAGGTGACCGACTGTATCAGGAGTGGTCGCTGCATGTAAGCTGTGTGGTCGTAAAATACAAGTTATTTCCACGTCGATTATTGCAGTAGGTCTGGGAATGCATTGGGATTAAAGACCGGCGTGAGATGTAGCTTGGCACATCTTCAACTGTCTTACGCCTGCGATGGAACGAGCTCAGTATGACAACTAGACTTACGGGCAAACGGTGGCTCTGCGCGGATTGTCGCCAGCCCGTTGACCGTGTCGGGTGGCTGACGGCGCCCTGCTCTGCGCTAGGTCTGGGCGCGCCGCCGCCGCCGCCGCCGACCGCCTCTTGGGGTCCGGGCTCGGCCGCCGGCGAGCACGGCCTGAACGGTGGCCGACTGCCAGCGCGCAGCACGGCCGCTACCGGCCACTGGTGCTACCAGCCGCCGCAGCGTCGCCCCACAGCGGCCGGGCCGACCGACAGCAGCGCAGGCTCCGCCGCACAGACCGGTCTCGGCCACCTGCAGATGGACTGCGATGGTTTGGGGCGACGGTCATCACGCCAGCGGTGCTTTCGCCAACGAACGGCAAGTCAACAGTGCTATCGGCAATGGCCATCAAGCCAGTGGTGCTTTCGGCGACGTTCAAGTCAGCGGCGCCTTCGGAAACGGGCATCAAGCCAACGGTGCTTTTGGTGATGGCCATCGCTCCAGCGGTGCTTTCGGCGATGGCCATCGCGCCAGCGCCAACCCCGGCGCCTGCTGGATCGCGCCGAGCGCTGTCCATGGGAAGCGGCGTGGGGACGAGGTAGTGTTTGACGAGCAGTTGAAGAGAAGACGACTCACAGGTGAGTTACTGGCGGCTGGGAGAAGGAGTGGGGTCGGCTGCGGGGCTCGGGTCTGTGTGTGTGTGTGTGTGTGTGCGCGTGTGCGTGTGTGCGTGTGTGTGCCGGGACTCCGCGTCGCTAGCTGAAAGGAGCTGTATAATTAAACAGGTATTGGCCAATGGGCGCGGTACATGTGCCTTGCCTTACCAGGTAGTCTCTAGCTTTCGGTGTAAGCATCATACTTTGAATAGTGAAAACGGTCGGCAGCCATTGCCTGGGTACCCGGGGGCCAGGCAATCCTCCGCACGCTCTTTTCGCGCTGTCCCACTCTGTATTCTGGGTTGTAGCGATGTGTCCTCCGAGGAGGATGAATTGTTTACTTTTGCAGTTCAGGTGCGATAAAAGTGTGAAATGTGAATGGGCATGTAGACGTCGCTGAGTGTCTTGAAGCTGGTGATAGATTCTCCGTCGCGTGATAAGGGTGTGGGCAGTGCATGTCTGCACAAGCATTTCAAAATTGCTTAGCTGCGAAATAGGCAGTGACTAGTTGGTATTTATCTGAAGCCTCTTGGTACATCATGTTAGCTAAAGGCTTGCTATAAAGGCATGAGCGTGGCTGAGATGTGTGGGCGGCTTTAGTTTGGTGTGCCGCCGCCGTGACCGTCGAGATGACGCCCGTGTGTCCACTGCCCGCCCGCCCAGTGCGCAGGCTCGTCCGGCTCGCCGATCTGGCCGGCTGCAGCGTCCCACCGGCGGCCCTGTAGGCTCGTCACAGCTACCGGCAGCCCGTGGGCTCGCCGCAGCCACCGGCCGCCGACCCGACCCGGCCTGACCCAGCTTGACCGAGCGTGACCCGGCCTGACCTGGCTCGGGTGGGAGCCGCCGGCCCAGCTGCCTCCTGCGCGGGCGGCCGGCCGGAGGTACCTACCGTGGCAGTTACCGGGCCGTGTCCGTGCTGGCCTGCTCTCCCGGTGGTCGGTAGTTCGTTCGCTGCTCTGTGCAAGGGCCGTGGGTGCGTTGACCATGCTGATTAGTTCAGTTGGACAACTGCGCTTAGATATTTACGCAATGTTTGTGTATTTGTGTGGCTGAAGCGCAAAGCCGGTGTATATGCCAAACGGCCTGGCCTTGCCGGCGTTGCCCGTGGTCAATACGTCCTCGGACGAGGCACGCGAGCTGTAGTGACTGTTTGCCGGCCGCTGAGGCTGTGAGACCCGTGCTGCGGGATGTTATCAGCATAGCATGGTCTGGATAGTGGCCGTGCTGCGTGGCGTATGGGTTAGAGCAGGTACCGTGCATGCCCAGGAAAAATCGTTAGTTCAGCCACACTGAAAGCGAACCTTTTTCGCAAGCGTGTGTGTTGTGGGCGCCGAAGCACGGTAGAGCTTACCTGTTAATGGCGAGGTGTCTGGCAGTCTAGTGGTGATAGTGAAATGTGTGTATGATGGCGGAAAATGGCGTGGGGAGGCATCCGATCATAACGTCTGAGTCTTGTTCTGAGTACTTAAGGTATGAGGTAGTTTATCTGAAGTGACAGTGACAGTGACCAGTGACAAGTCGGCCACGTAAAGGTAGGCAAAGCCGCCTGTTGTCTGGCATCATGATGGACTCTTGAATGTACAGTGAAGTGGTGGCAGGCCACCTTCCACGATGTCAGAGATAAGGGAAATCGCGGTCAACGAAGAAAATTAAGAAATCAGTGCCAGCGAAAACGGACCAGTCAGATTAAAACAACTAGTTCAGTCATGATCAGCACCGAAACTAACGGAAACGAGCAAAAGCAAGCATCTCATTGGCGGAGGTCAGTGTAAAACATCGTGTGCTTTTGTTGAAGCCCGGCACATCCACGCCAGAAGAAGGACCCATGGACATGGCCTGCTTCTGGATGGCACTGACCGGATAGCGAGTGCATGCTCGTCATGAACACTATGGGTCAGCTGGAATGATGAGGTTGGAACTATCCTGAGCATGGATTCGAACTGGCCTAAAAGGTAGGTGGTTCCATGCTGACCTTGACGCTGAGGTCAAAAGAACAGATGTGGGCAAGAACCGTCTGAAAAAGCTCAGCAGAAACTAAACAGAACGTCGTCGGCAGTGCTTTGAACGTCAAGAGAAGAAGATGGCTCAGTTATATGGCAGCTCTTACCACAACCGGGAAGCCAGTACATGCGAAGAATTGTTGTTATTTGCGTCTTCGCACCCTCCTGTGGGTCATCGCAGCAGAAACGAGACTCGTCTCGCATGTACGGACGACTTGCGTTGTCCGCCCGAAGCGAACGTTCCAATCAGGCATGACTGCTCTACTTTCAGAACCTGGTGCCAGCGCGATGGCCTGTGGTGCCTCTTCTCGCGTTTGCCCGCCAGCCTCCTGTCGCTTTGTGAGCCCCCAATGGGGGGATGGGGGGGGGGGGGGCGCCGTGGGCCGGTGGGCGCGGCCCACCGGCCGCCACAGATGGGGGGGGGGGGGGGGCGCAGTGGGCCGGTGGGCGCGCCCCACCGGCCGCCACAGATGCGCGCTGTGAACGCATAACTATGACACGGCAAACATGAAGAGGGTGGGGCGGGGGGAGGGGGGTTCTGTACGGTCTGACATGACCCGGGGCGCATGACATGTGGATGTAGCGGACGAGAGCGGCGTCAATGTTCGGCCAGTGGTGTAGTATTCGTGCGGTTTGCTTAACGTCGGGCAGCTTAACTGTGTTGTGAAGTATGTGGCATGGGAGTTGTGGTTAGCGCCGTAGTACGTTTCCTATATCGTTGAACTGTTGGATAAGCTGGGCTGTCAGTTTCTCCCAGTGTGTATGATGTGGTATGATATGGTGTGTGCTAGCCTTGTGTGCCCACTCCTCACTCACCCATTGTTATTTGAGGTGCCAGATGAATGCATGTCCCAGGTGCGACGAACAGTTTGGTGCCCTTCACTTTCATTTACCTTCTACAGCCGTACGTTTCCATTTCTCCCATCAGTTGGCTTGCAATTTGTACTTTTCAATTGCCTGCGTTTGAATTATGCAGGTCATTGTTTCCTGCGCGAGACGATCAGGAGATTTCATATGTTTCCAAATACCCGCACTTTCCATGGGATTATTCGCCGTATTAAAAGTCTGACTTACAGTTTGTGTGCACTATTAAAGCCTGTCTTACCTTATATCGCGGAACGGCGGTGCCCTGTTTGTCATACCTGTTGTACCATATGAAGCCGGCGGCTCTATACCTGTCCTCATCAGTTCATGTCAAACCGGCGCCCTCCTAGCCTTGTTTTCTTTTTGTCGCGGCTTGGGCGTCGGTTCCGGCCGTTTGCGACGCTGCCGAACAGGCCAATACCTCGCAGTTTGCCCTTGCCGGTGACCCGTGATCTGTGACCTCGTCTGGGCGGTCGGTGACCTGGCCGCTGACCCGTGATCGGCCCGGCAGAGCCGAAGGTGCTGCAGCCGGCGGCGGCGGCGGCAGGCGCGGCCGCCTCCTTGTGGGCAGAGCGAGCTCGGCCGGCGCCGGGCCCCTGTCGCCGGGACGACCGCTCTGTCCGGCCCGACACGCGACGGCTCGTCTGAGCACTCCGCCGACAGGTCAGGGGTGCGGCCGGCGCTTCGTCTGAGCGCTCCGCCGACAGGTCAGGGGCGCGGCCGGCGCCTCGCAGGGTCGGATCTGGTGCGCTCCGCGGTGACCTTCTGTGTCCAGCCCGGTGTTGTGACGTGGAGGGCTAGTTGAATGGAGGTTCGGGTCCAGGGGTGCAGTGTCCTTTTCAGGCGGTGGGGGGGGGGGAGGGGGGAGGGAGGGGAGGTGTCAACTTTGGGAAGAAAGTGGTCCAAATCGTTCATGGTCGGGTCTGATGTGTTCAGTCTGGATAGTTGGCCGGATAAAGGGTCGGGTCTGATGTGTTTTCTGCAGCCTGAGCTGATTCGACCCTCAGTGAATAAGCGTGGACGGTTGGACGCATGAAGGCTCGGGTCTGGTGCGGTCTTCAGGGGGCGGGGTCTGCTGAGAGTTTCCAGTCAGGCAGGGTGGAGAGCGGACCAGGGTCGGGCCGGATGTAAAGGTAGCTTTCGACCATTATTGTGGACGTGAGGTCGTGTGTTGTGGGGTGGTCTGACGAACGTTAGCGCGTTATATGATCACGCCGGCATGGTTGCCACGAAGTATGGACCCACAACCCACACCGTATCCTGCTCCTGCTCCTGCTCAGGTTCCCGGTCCCACCGATCCTCGGGCGGTAACTGATCTGGCGGCATTTTGTCCAGACTGGCCGGTGGCGCCGCCACGGTCGCCGGCCTGCCCTGCCGTCGCGCCCAAGACGATGTCGAACCCACGCCGCCAGCACTGTCTCCGGGAGTCCGCCGCATCATTGTGGGGAGGGCCTCAGTCGTGCCAGGCAGACGACTTCCCAGCGCTGAGCCGACGCAAGGCAACCGCCAAGCAGGCCTTGGCTGTGGAGAGCAGCCACCCGTGCCCTCGCGCGGTGTGGACTGCCGCCACTGCTCTGTGGCGCCCACTGCCGGCGTCTCAGCTGTGTCTGAGGACTGCCGGCCGCGACTGTTGGGCTGCTGGTGTTAAGCCCGGCATGTTACCGGGTTCTGGCTCGTCACCCTTGCGTGACGCGAATGCGTTCTGACAGATCAGGCTGCTGCCGGGTGTTTTGGAGAGTTAACAGTTGTCGCTCCGTTTCTAAGAGTCTCGCCGAAGATTTCGATCCATTGCTGAATCAAAAAGTTGTTTGTTGTAGACAGCTATATGTTAACCGCCAGGCGAGTGGTGTTTGACTCAGTGTACTTAAGTCTTTGTTAAGGTTATTGTCATCATTTTGACATGTTTGCGGAAGCCTCGCCTCAGCGTTCTCAGTCTCTCGTCTCGTCCGCACAAAGTACCTGGAAGCTAGTGATTGATCCATGTTAGAAGCTCTGCTTGGATGGTAGTTGGGGCTGATTGCCGCATGCCACGGACCAGCCCGCATGCGCAGGATGCCGACGGTGTCGCCCGCGGAGTGATACTGGTAGTCTGCCGGTGACAGGGCGGCGGCCTTCGCCGACCTCTTGGTGACGGGGGTGGCCCGCGGAGTGACGCTGGTAGTCTGCCGGTGACGGGGCGGCGGCCTTCGCCGACCTCTTGGTGACGGGGGTGGCCCGCGGAGTGACGCTGGTAGTCTGCTAGTGACGGGGCGGCGGCCTTCGCCGACCTCTTGGTGACGGGGGTGACCCGCGGAGTGACGCTGGTAGTCTGCCAGTGACGGGGCGGCGGCCTTCGCCGACCTCTTGGTGACGGGGGTGGCGGCACTCGCTGGCCTGCCCTGACCCAGTGCAAACAAAGACGTCGTTGGCGTTTGTTGCGATGTTTGTTATTGATGCTGTTTGTCGAAGACATATGTTTTGTTGCTGGTCATGGAATCCGTTCATGCTGTTTTGCCAATACGGGTGTTGTAATTGCCATGTGTAGCGAGAAAAAATGCAGGATGCCTTAGGCTAGCACGCACGAACCTGCAGTTATAATGGCGAGTGCATATACGAAGTTCTTTGGTGAGCACGACTCTCCCCGCCCCTCTCTCTCCGACAACACCCCGTTGTGCAGCCATGCTCAAGCTGTGTTGTCGGACCTGTTTTTGTCCTCGGTCGTTTTTCGTCTTGGAAAAAAGGTTTGCTTATGCTTTCAAAAACGGCCCACTCGGAGAGCACAAGGACGTTTGCTGTTGTCAGTTGAACTGCTCCATGATGGCTTGCTTTCTTGGATCGAACGATGCACAGCTCATGAGCAGAACGTGTTTTGGTTTACCGTAGCTTAGCTTGCCGGGCTGTTGTGAATGTTTGCGCAGTGCTTATGAGTGGTGTGCAGGTCATCACCTTTTCATTTCAAAGTGGGTGAAATTTAAGAATTGTGGGCGACGGTTCAGCCGAGTACAATTCACATGTTCAATTACTGAAGTGCAAATAAACCACTGTGTTACAGCGGATTCACCAAAGATTGATCCTCGCGGGAGATAGCGCGGTTTGTCAACGTTCAAGCCATCTTTGGTCAATGGTCGGTGCAACAGGAAATGCCTGAAGGTTAGAAACAACAATGAACAAGACGGCTCGTGCAGGTAGTCGTGCACGGTTAGTGATTGACAGCGCTCAGGGCCCATTCGGACATGTGAGTGCTCGGGCAACCGTAAAATCCGAACCGGGCGAGCACGGCGCTGACTAGTAGCGATGAAGATAGTGAAAGGGATTTTTGAAGAACGAAGGGTCATGAGCTCGTCACGAGATCCTACTGACATCGATCCTGGAACTTGGCCGGGCGCTGCCAGCTGGGCGGCGGCCCGGTAAGGGTTGCATCAGACTCCCGCTCAGCTTGCTACACGCCCCTCGCATCCAAGATTAGCTCCAGCGGGGTTCGGACATCGCGCTCGGCCGGCCAGTGGTGTTTCACGCGATCGTGTCTGCTTGAAAGGTGGCATTAGAGTAGATCTTTGTGTTTCTGAGGGGTGAAGCGATTTCAGTTTTTGCTAGTTTCTTGAGCACTGTTTCCCCCTGCCTGGAAGCGCGTTCAGCTGTTGTTCCGAGTTGCTTTGTCGACGCAGGAAGGACGAAAATGGCGCACGTGTTGAGTGAACAGCTTAGAGCAATTCTCTCTCCCTTTTGGGCTAGAAATACTGTGTTGAGAAGGCCATCATTTCATCATATACGAGGTTTGTAGCTTAAAATTTTCTATAAATATCGAAATCTGCCTGTGCTAAGGTCATGCTCACTTTTTCGTATGATATGAAAAACAAGTGTGTGTTCTTCGCACGTCACTGTAATGGGATGCGCTTTTTGGATATATCTCTCATAGCGTTTTGGTGTTAGCATGGCTCTAAACTTTGTTGAATTTTAAGAATTTTCAGTATTCATTTGCTGTTTATATTTTATACTAGTCAGTGTGTATCCAGGAGTTAAGTGGTTGGTTCTGTAAATGTAAGTTTGTAAAGGTGATTGTGTAAGAGTATGGCATGTTGAATGATGCATGTCACATTTTTCATCTTTGTTGCTGGATAGTCTCATATGAGCATTATGCCACCTTCCTGTATGCTTGACAATTTACCTAATCATGATGGGCTTACAAACATGATAATGTTGTGATTTATTAAAGGCTTGTGTGCTATTGTTAATGTCTGATTTGTATCTTATCAACAGAGTAAAAGTTTCATCTTGGTTAAGACAGACCTTGGAGAAACCTGTATTTATTTATGTAGGAGCAAAATTGAATGTGTTTGCATTATAGAGAGAGCAAAAACTTGACTCAGTGAAAAACACACCAATGAGTTGCTTTGAGTATCCAGTGTTCCTTGTAGATGCATAATAGGCAGGCACAGACAGCATGCATTGGTTCAGTTCATACTGCTGGTAAGTCATCCTTCACTTATATCACACTATAAGTGACCAGAGTCCATGTGATGTTGACACTGGCTGGTGACAAAGGCATCATTATGGTCTGTGTCATAGATCTAATGGTTGCTATTGTCAGAAGTGCTGATATGTGCCCTTTCCAGGAATATCAACAACATCATCCCAAAAATGCTTAGACCAGCAAGCATCCATAAAGACTGCTACCTCCATCCAGACATCATATGGCCAGCCATTCAGTTCCACACACCCGCATCTCATGAAAGAGGGGGAGGTGAGCTCTGCCACCGTTCTCTGAGATACAATATGCTTTCTTTGTGACAAATCATAGTTCCTTTGATGTTTCATTTTATATGATGAATATGAAGTTTGCAAGGCTTTTCATGTAATTGTCTAACCTGCTTGGCTGTTAACATCAAAGAGTAAATGACAGAGCCTGCTCTGAGGAACGTTTCTGCATACAGCCAGCCAGACGTTGTTGTTTCCCAGAACTGCAACCACTGCCACTCTGCTTACAAGTACCACATGTGTGATACTGCTGCCTGGTCTCCAGGTGACACCCGGCCTCTCGTCTGACGAGTACTGCAGCCGGCGTCACCGGCTGATGGAGCTGCTGACCCAGCAGATGGCTGCCGCCCAGCCACGCCACCATGTGGTGATCGTGCCGGCAGCGCGGATGGCCTACCTCTCTGAGGACATCCCGCACCCATTTCGTCAGAACACCGACCTGCTCTACCTGAGTGGCTGCCAGGAGCCAGACACGGTGCTGGTGCTGCACTCTGTGCCCGGCCGGCCGGCGCCGGCGCACACCAGCGCGCTCTTCGTGCAGCGCAACACGGCGCACCGTCAGCTGTGGGAGGGCGGCTGCACGGGCCCGGCCGCTGCGCCGCAGCTGCTGGGCGTCGACGAAGCGCGCGCCGCCGCCGAGCTGCAGCGCTACCTCGAGTGCCTGGCAGCCGACTTCGCTGGCGCGCGCGCCGCCGTCTGGTACGACTTCCAGGCAGACCTGCAGGCGCCGCTCAATGCCACCGTGCGTGACTTCGTCGGCGCGCTGAGCGGCGCCGGCCTTGAGTCGCCGCGCCGTGCCGTGCAGTCGCTGCGCCTGCTCAAGTCGCCGGCCGAGCAGCGGCTGATGCGGCGCGCGGCACGCTGCGCCGCCGCCGCCATCCGCGACGCCATGGCCGCCTCGCGGCCCGGCGTCGGCGAGCACGAGCTGTACGCGCGCGTCGACTTCGGCGCGCGCATGCGCGGCGCTGAGCGGCTGGCCTACCCGCCCGTGGTGGCCGGAGGGGAGCGCACCAACGTCATCCACTACACGCACAACAACCGCACGGTGGAGGACGGGCAGCTGGTTCTCATGGACGCAGGTAGGCTGGTGTCATGGCCCTGCTTGGAGTCAGCCTGGCCGCCGGTACGGTCCGCCCGGCGGTGCGTGGCGGCGGTTGGTTGCGTGCTGCAGCGTGCAATCCCCTACATGACGCATTGACCACAGTTGTAGTGGCTGGGTTGAGGAGCAGCTCCTGATGCATCACTCGTTAATTCACCGGCATGTCTGCAGACGAACACAGAATCGGTAACATGTCTCTCTGTTCGCAAGTGTTTTACGTCTTGGGATCCGGTTACTATTATACCTTTAAATGATACACAGGCGTGAGGTAGCATGGGCTGGTCAGACACCTTTGCATACGACTCTTTGTACACATCACCATAGGAACAACGCTAAACATTCGTGGAGAACGGGCCGAGCTTGATCCCAATTGCCCCTCGCCTCCCCCCCCCTCCCCCAGGGCTTTACACCAGCCATGATATGGCGTGTACGCATATGCGACCATGCCCCAGGTGGCTGCTGCATGCAAATTTGCAGCATCAGACTTTTGCTCATTGAGCGCGGCTACCCGCTGAGAACGTTGCGTTGCGTGCGCCTCACGTTGTGTGGCATGACCGGAGCCGGCCGCCGGCGCTGTGACGGCTTCCCCGTCGGCTGTGCCGCCCAGGCTGCGAGCTGCACGGCTACTGCAGCGACATCACGCGGACGTGGCCCGTCAATGGCACCTTCTCCAGCGACCAGCTGCTCCTCTACACCACTCTGCTGGAGGTGAGCCCCTTCGTTCCGACCTACCTAGCCCGTGAGGGTTGTCCGGGCTGGCCAGTTGGGACGAGAACACGCCGTTGCCGGCGGCGAGCAGCCCGGTTTTGCTTGCGGTTGTAGGGATTGCGGAATGCTTGAATGTCGTTCAAGGTGTTTCCCTGGAGCAAAGTTGGTTTGGTTGTTTGGGTGCTCGCCTCTGGACGTTCCGGTCCGGGGCTCGGGTCTCGGCCTTACCACTACCGCATACCACATGGTAACTAATAAAGGCACCCCGTCTCGAAATGGCCCTGGCAGTCGGTGAGATGTGAAGCCTGAATAGTGATTAAGGCTTGTTTCCCTTTGCTATCACGGACCATGCTCTTAAAAAACGGCACTGCCCAATGCAAATGAGATGGGATCATTGCAGTGATGTAAAATATCCGATGTTATCGCACTCTGAACATGCTTACGTGATGCTCCGTATCTGCAGTAGGCGCTAATTGAGGTGGTGCTGACATCAGGCTGGGCCATGTGCTGTGCTCCGTAGGTGCAGGAGGCACTGACTGAGGTGGTGCTGACATCAGGCTGGGCCATGTGCTGTGCTCCGCAGGTGCAGGAGGCACTGACTGAGGTGGTGCTGACATCAGACTGAGCCATGTGCTGTGCTCCTCAGGTGCAGGAGGCGCTGATTGAGGTGGTGCTGACATCAGACTGAGCCATGTGCTGTGCTCCTCAGGTGCAGGAGGCGCTGACTGAGGTGCTGGCATCAGACTGAGCCATATGTTGTGCTCCTCAGGTGCAGGAGGCGCTGATTGAGGTGGTGCTGACATCAGACTGAGCTATGTGTTGTGCTCCTCAGGTGCAGGAGGCGCTGATTGAGGTGGTAAGGACGTCCCGGCCCACTCTGGACGGCCTGTACGGTCACATGTTCCGCATGCTGTCGGAGCGACTGGCCCACCTCGGCCTGGTCGGATTCAACCGGGAGAAGGGAGAACTGTTCAGGGTGAGCATCCCGTCCCATGCGGCCGTCTGTGCCGTGTATGCATGGCTGGCCCTAACAAAGGGACAACGCGGCGGAACTTTTGGTGGGCGTTGGGCCTGCTCTTGTGTCCCTGTGTTGAGGTGTTAATGGCACAGACTTTGTGCAAAGTGCTGCGATGTAGCGTCAGCAAGCGCAGAAGACAATTTTGTCAAACAACAGGGTAGACTAATGATGTGCCTCGTTAGGCATTGTTAGGTTTATGATGTGTGGGATGTACACATTGGAACAGCTGGCAGAAGCCCCGAATTTTAATAGTTAGCCTGAAAGTCAGGGCATTTGCCATGAACTCAGGATTTGTGGTTGTCTTTTCTCTATTTGGCGTTTGGCAAGAAATTATCAGCAAATTACATGACTGCCAGGTAGAAGGCCATGGCTGTATGGATATTTGCGATGGCAAAGTGTAGTACTTTCAGAAGACAGAAACAGGTTGTGTTCGTTTCTCGCGAACTATGCAGTGAAGTGCTGCTCGCTGCCAGCTTTCTGCGTCCGCTATTCCCCTGTGCTCCTGCTGCCCTGCACCGCGCTTGTTTTAATACGTCAAGTCGACTGTTGAAACCGAGCTGAAACACAGTTGGACGGCACATGGATCACGTTTCTATCTTCGGTTCAAGTTTGGTGTTGCGGCTGCCCTTAGCAGCAAAATGCTGGTACGGACTTCGAAATGCCCGCATTCTTGGACCGGCATTGGTGCCTTTAAACAGTTTTCAGGAACATGTTGCTTTCGTCTTTTTTGTCTTTAACGTTCAAATTCGTCTCTATCCCTTGATACACTCCGTCCATATGATAAGCTGCAGTTTTCGGCACTCAGCACACGGTAGGGCGTCACAACGTCGGCGACAGTTTCCGTACTTCGTGGGTTATGAACGAAGCCAAACGAGCTGATGAATAGTCTGCTTGGCAAACGGCAAGGTATAGAAAACAAAGTGCGTAAACCACTGCCAAAGCCATCTGGAGACAGGCGTGAAGCGTTTTTGCACTCCACTGTCTAATTGCGCCCAGCCTAAGCAATGATGTTGGTTACTGTTCATGAAGGACATTATTGTGTGCAGCAGCTCTCGTTCGGTTCGATTACGCTATCTAAGAGGACGAAAACATCCGGTTTTTTTCTGAGATAAAGCTGTTCTGAGGCGGCTTTCAGCAGTGCGTGGCTTACTGTGTATTAAGTCAAATCTCTGTCAGGCGGCTACCCGGGGAAGTGCCCTTGCTATCCCTGTTTCCCTGCCACCCTGCAATTTCCGGCGTAGATTGATAGCCTGCAAATCTGCAATAGATCCATTTTCTTCCCAGGGCGCTGGTTTTCTCCCGCAACAATTCGCTCTCAGCAGCGAATTGCAGGGAAATATTAGGTACAGTTGGTAATTGCTACTCTGTTTCCCACTGGCTAACATCGTTTCATTGTTTGTGGACTGCCATTTTGCTCACGATAAATTGCTGTCAATAAGGAGAAACGTGAGTTGATTTTATTTGTCGGGCACAATTCGCGAGTCAGTTTTATTAAATGACGAGTGCTGTCTCTCGTTCACAGCCTTGCTTCGCCGAGCCTTTGGCTTTGAGCCTTCTTTGCAACGATCATGGTAATCTCCTGTTATCATGAATCAAAACTGACGCCACTTTGGGCGCTTCTAAACTTCACCCACCGAAATGCTGGACACAAACTCATTACGAACCGCGCTCGCAGCAGTGGAACCCTGCCGGAACACAATCACCCTCCCCTTGCCTGCGCGCGCGTTATGGTCCTCTTACCAGAGCTGTGGATGCGTTCCCTCCTGGTGCACGGTGAAGACCTGCCTTCGCTGTGGGGCAGCTTAGCATTAAAGCCATCATGTTAATAACACTGCTCTGAATAGTGCAGCTTAACAAAGCTCTTGGTGTTCATAGCACCGCTCGTAACAGTCCAATTTAACAAAGCCGCAGGTATTTGCAACCTTTGGTTTTTACAGCACCATTCGCTTGCTAATGTGGCCCGCCGTGCCCAGTAACCGTCCCACGCACCGGGCCAGGGCTCTGCCTCCGCACCGCGAGCTAATTTAGTGTAGTACCAGCGGGTGGCATCTTGGTTTTCGTTGGTATGGATGATCGGTTCGATACTAATGTTGTGTTTGACAGGAACGTTCTTATGATTTTACTTCACAATAACTGTATTTTTGGTTCATTCGCGTGCATTATGTAGTACATACAGGTTCAGTATGAACGTGTTCACTGTTGACCGTGTGCACTTACACAGAGCGTCAACCGCATTCTGAACGGGCTACGCCTAAGCCATCTCGTTTTTGAAGAGGTAAACTCTAGTTCGTAAGCTCCCGCATTGGCGCTTCAGTGCTGTTGCGTCGGCAGACGCGGGCAATGGACACGCTTTGGCGTCGTTTTGATGACGCTTTTGCTGTCGTAAGTCGTGCCATCCGTCCAAGTCATACACAACCAACGACCCATAGTCAGAGCAGTGTCTGGCCATTACTTAGCAAGCCTAACGGCATGATGTCAGATGGCTTCGATGAATGCGCCTGTGGTGATTTTGCGGACTGCAGGGCCACTGCTTGACAGATGTGTGGGGGAAAGTTGTTGAATAGCATGGTTTTAAGTTTTAGCTCATTCTAGTAGCTCGCAAACCTGTTGAAAATGTAGGAAAGGCGTATAGAACCGTGACATAGATGTCAGGTATGCATGCAATATATTGTAAACGTGCATACCTAAACAGGATATGGGATGGACGAGGGCATTTCTTTCAGATCCTTTGTCGACTTGTAGTCCATCACATAACGGAAACCGCAGATTGATTGAGAACTTGAGAACCGAATAATGCCCAACGTTTCATGCATTTGCTGCGACGTGTGTGATACAATGTCAGGTCATGCATTTGTTAAGAGGCCGTAAGTCCCACTACCAACCATAAGCTCGCACTTGATCTTTGCGGCCAGCAGATTATGGGTTGTTCTTGTCGATGTTGGGTTCAACACCATACTAACAAACACTATCGCCACTATTGGGCTGCGACGACTGCCTCTGCAAGTCTGTGTGGCTTCGCATGCACACTTGCGGACAGACCATTAAACAACTCATCTGTGTGCTTCCTTTTGAGGCATCACGCGCTTCAAAACAACGTCGCTTTCCAGCGTTGTGTTTATCATAACATGCAATAAGTCGACTGGTTAGATTGGTAAGACCTGAGTTGCTTGCCCTTTGCTCCAATCATTGCTAACGCAAGACCAACACACTTCGGCTTCGGCAAGCTTCGGCGCTTTGACTCCGTGAGTTTTCACCCTGGATCTGCTTGCCCGCCATGCCTGAAGCTTCCCCGTCGTATTGCTTACATTGTTCCGGCTGCGTAATCGCCTGCAATCCTTGCCAGTGCGTTAGGGTTACCAAATGAGTTTTGGTACCCTAAGGTTTCATTATTTAAGATACCTGGAATCCATCATATTGCTAGCAGCAGACGTTTCGTTTTCAGTCTTTTTATTACGCCATGTTGTTTTTCGTTAGTTGATGAGTCGATACTCAACACTTAGTGCACCATTAGTGCGTAGCGTGGCAAACGTTGCTGAGGGGCGGCACGCAACGAGGGTCTCTACGTACGAGCGCCCGCCGGCTCTTTCAACAACTCACGCCCTGGCGTAATGGATGATGCCGCGGAGCATTGCCAAGGTGTTCGGCCGGTTCGAGCCGTCCTGGTCGGTGGTCACCGTGAGGCTCTATGTAGCCCTCGTCGCTGACCCGTCCGTCCCTGGGCGCAGTCGGTGCAGCGCTTCTGCCCACACCACGTGGGCCACTACCTCGGCATGGACGTGCACGACACCGGCCTCATGCCCAAGAACCGGCCGCTGCAGCCGGGCATGGTCATCACCGTGGAGCCAGGTCAGCGGGGCGGCGCGGCCGGCGGCGGCGCCCGCTCCTGGGCCGCGCGCCTCAAGCACGTCCAAGGGAAGCGCCGGGGTGGCTTACAGGAGCGGATGGAAACCGGGCTGGGACGTACGAAATCGAGGCTTTGTGTGTCGCGTACATTGCCGTGGTGAACTGCGCTGTTTGCCGGGGCATGACTCCGGTCCTCGCGTCGAAGATGTGGTCTTCTACGGTCGCGTACGAACTCCAGTTGTGAACTGTACGCTCCCCACGTGAGAGATCGGTCACCGAGCCGCGCCCCGCCGCCAGGTCTGTACGTCTCGCCTTCGGACACCAACTGCTCGGAGGGCTTCCGCGGCATGGGCTTCCGCATCGAGGACGACATCCTCATCACGGAGGAAGGCTGCGAAGTGCTCTCGGCCGACTGCCCCAAGACGGTGGAGGCCATCCAGGCGGCCGTCGGAAGCGGCGCGCACCTGCCAACGTGTGAGTGTGTACCGCAGCTGACAGCTCACGGCTGTGCTGATTGCTCAGTACCACTGTTGACGTGACAGCCTGTTCTCGGAAAATATCGTGTACTTCTTAAGTCGGGAGTGTGTTGCTTCCCAAATGTCTGGTGGAAGTCATTGCCTGGCGGCGGGAAGGATTGACGGATGTGCTCTGCGCCCGCCCGTTTGTTTCTGCCCATACAACGGCCATAAATTCTGCGTCCTCACGCTGCCGTTCAGTTTCAGGCGTTTGATGTCGTTGGCACGGCTACCCGCCAGGGGGCCAACCGGCAGGCGGACACGGAAGGGTAGCTAGCGGGTGGTTGGCCGTATACAGCGCGTGGTTGGGGTCTGGTCCTCGCGCGTGACGAGCCTGTTATCTCAGGGCCGGGTGCGGCGCGCGTCGGACCGGTGCGTGGTGTATCTGTGAGTGCAGCGTGACTCGAAGAGACGGCGCTTAGAGCATATGGTGTGCGAACGGACAGTGGAGCGATAGACGGCGCCCCGTTTTGAAAGTCTGCGGTCTTGCAGGCTCAAGTTATGCGTGCTGCGACGGTCCTGCTCGTTCTATTGCTCCCGACGGTCTTCTGACGGTCGGGCGTGGCCTTTGTACTTTTGATAACCCACCTAATCAAACGTCTCCTGTTGACTTACTGTTTTATGCAGTTGCTGACGTACAAAACTATCGCGGACGTGCCCATACGAAGGATGAATGGGTATTATCGCACCGTGATGGCTGACATTCGTTGTATCGGGAAGGGTGTATAAACCAGAGGCTTTGGTGGATGTTCTCTCATTGTAGCTGTGGGTGCAGGGAAGTTGGCCCTGTTCTTAAAATGCAGGCTGTTTGTTTGATAAGCCATAAATATACATGCTATCGATTCACGTGACGAATGCACAGAAAGCAGAACAAGCGTGGTGTGGTACATGATTCACACTCATAATTAGTATATCTGGATCAGGTGAGAATACCAGAGACCCTGCTCCAGAATACACCACATACACTGCTGTGATGCCCGATATCAGAGAACGGAAACAAGCGCCAAGGTAGAACAAATTCCGATACTGAGGCACGTAAGCCCGCGTGCGCACAGAGGTCACACAGGACGCGTGCCATTACTGCCGACCCTGCCGCAAGGTGCTGCAGTGCAGTACACACACCCTTTTGGCAGCCAGCATGTACTGCCATGTCAGTTGAGCTTTCGTGTGTGACCACAGCAACCGACCCCCTGCCGCATGCGTGCTCTCACTGGTAGCGCTCGTGTACGTTGTGCACGCACTTGCCTTCAGCATGCATGGCGCCAACCAGACAACTGCGAAAACTCGCTCAGTGTATTTCCTACAAACGTCGCAGAACAGTCGCCACAACGACTAGGGCGAACTATCGCCCGTCGCGTGCACGACTGTCCCTCCCCCCCCCCCCCCCCCCCCACGCGTTGGGCGGTCAGCTGTCGTCGCAGCCGGCCAGGAACTCCGCGATGAGCGGCGCCTCGAGCGGGACGGTCAGCTGCTCCACGCCGTCGTGGGTGGCGCGTGACCGGATGAGCTTGTGGTCGCGGAACTCGGTCAGCTGTGCGCGCAGCGCCACCTGCGAGCTGACTAGAAACTGCTCGCGGCAGCGGCGGTACAGCTCCGACAGCGGCAGGCCCTCGAACGTCCGGTCATCAGCGTTCTCCAGCTGACGAGCAGGGGTAGAGCGCGTCAGGCGAGCGACGTGCGTGACATGCTATACTGGATAGCAATATGATACGGTTGAAAGACAGAGTGATCTGACTGTGATGGCTGAATAGGTCCGCATGGTGACAGCGACGGTACAGCACAGCCGGAGAACAAAGTTGTCCCAACATGCTTTCGCCAGTGCCATCAGACGTAACGCGAGAAGCTCGTGTCGTGGTTTTCGCGGAGAACTAACGACAACGTCATACCAGTTGCCAGGCATGAGCAGCGGAGGCCGGCATTAGTACCACATTGCAAACTTACTCTGAACGCCGTGGAAATAGACGCTCGACGAGCTACGAACCCGGCCAGTACCTGGTGCTTGGCGAGCAGTATGAAGATGCCGCGAGCGTTTGGCGTGAGAGACTTGAAGACGTGGCGCAGGGAAGAGAGCGCCAGGTCGGCTGTCTGCCTTACCAGCAGAGAGTTCTCGTACGACGTCTCCTCAGTGTACGGCAGTAGCGTCGTCGCGTCAAACCTGGCCACACATCGGCGAGTTACGGCCCGGCAACACTGGCCGCCGAGAGAAACGCTTAAGCTGACAAGAGGAACGCTTAGGTCGACAAGAGAAATACTTAAGCTGACAAGACGAACGGTTAATGCGAAGGGGAACACTTACCTGTCAACGTGGGCTAAGACGTCGCAGTAATTGACGACACATGGAAAGTCTCATTAAACGCTTGCAAAAAGGAGGCCGGCACAAACTACACAAAAAGAGGAGACGGGCACAAACTACACAAAAAGAGGAGACGGGCACAAACTACACAAAACGAGGAGACGGGCACAAACTACACAAAAAGAGGAGACGGGCACAAACTACACAAAAAGAGGAGACGGGCACAAACTACACAAAAAGAGGAGACGGGCACAAACTACACAAAAAGAGGAGACTGGCACAAACTACTACAAAAGCCGGCGCACCGACGCAAGGTACATCAGGAAACCAAACAACAAACACGCCGGAACAAATAGCGTTCCAACCCTACCCCAGCCCTGACGCGGCACAAAACGGGCGCGGCCGCCACTGACCAGAGGAAGTTGAACTGGGCCAGCTTGTGCTGGTCCCAGATCAGCGGCGCGTTGATGTGGTCGACCGAGGCGACCAGGTGGACGCGCGGTGCCTGCGCCAGCCGCGCCAACAGCTGCTGCATGCGCTCGCCCCGCATCATCGGCCCGTCCATGCTGTTCACCAGCAGGAAGAGGCGCGCGTCGCCCGACCCCGAGAAGCGGCGCAACACCGCCTCGGCCTGTGCCTCGGGCCGGCCGGGCGGCGCCGCCACCTCCAGTACGTCCTCCAGCAACGTCTGCAGCAGCTGGCGCGGCGTCACGCTCGGGTGGAAGCCGTTCACCACCACGTGCAGCCGGTGCTGCAGCTGTGTCAGACGCAGTCGTTCCAGCACGGCCCGCTTACTGCCGAGCCCGTGGAGCAGCACGTTGAAGCCGTGGCCAAGCGCGACCAGCCAGTGCGGGAACAGCAGCTCAACGTCATCGAGCAGCGCGGCACGCTCGGCCGCGTGGTCAGCTGGCCGCCCGCCCAGCAGCGTCTGCAGCGCGGCGTGGCTGAGGCGCGGTTCGGCCAACCGGCTCAGCGTGTGGTTCGAGGTGACGCCGCGCGCGCTGTGCAGAGCGAAGTACTGCTCGGCGTCGGCGGCAAGCTCCGCCGGCTCCGACCGGCGGCGGGCGGTGCCGCGGCGCGCCGGCGGAGCAACAGTCGCCTCTGAACGCTGCCGCGGCTCCTCCTCCTCCTCGGCGTCCTTGTCCTCGTCTGACCCGCTCTCCCGGTCTCCGGCGGCTTCCGGCTCATCCTCTTCACTGCTGTCCGAGGACTCCTCCAGCGGCGAGAAGTCGCTGTCGTCGTCCGACACGGCGATCTCCTCCTGCTGCAGCTTTGCCAGGCGCTGCTTGATGCGGCGGCGCACAGTCTGCGGCGTTTTGGCTGGCGGCGACGCGGCCCGGCGAGTAGGTGTTCTCCCAGGTGTCTGAGGCGTGCGTGGGGTTACGGCCACTGACCGGCCGCCTCCGCCCCGACCCGCAGTGGGCGTGGCCGGGGTGCGACGGCCGCGGCCGCGGCCGCGCGAGACTGACCGGTCGGCCGCCGGGCCCCGCTTCGGCGTGGAAGGCTCCTCCGACCGCGTCCCTGCCGTCTCGGACGCCGCCGCGTACTCCTCGGCCACCTTGCGGAAGTGCTGCCGCCGCTGCCGGCGCTGGAAGCCGAAGACGGCGCTGCCGCGCACCGCGTCACCACCGCCGTGCTCCTCCAGCTGCGCCGAGTTCAGCTGGCGCAGCGCCTCGCTCGCGCCCGCCGGCTCCCCATCTGAGTCCAAATCGGACTCCCCCGCACTAAAGTCCGCCGCCACCAGCCGGCGGCGAATGGTGTGGTCTCTGGCACTGGCAGCGGCCGGAACTACCCTCTTTTGGGCCAATGTCAGGCCCAGCGATCGCGTCGGCGCCGCCTTGCTGATGCTCTGGATTGTCTCCAGTGTGTCAGCATCACCCAGAAATTGAACAAAGACATTGTTGCCACTCGGTATTGCTTCCTGGCGTTCCTGAGCTGCCTTGGAGCGCCTGAGGTAGGAAAGAAAAGGAATCTGATGCAAAAAGTCATGTAAGTCATGTCCTGGTCAACTACATCTCCACATCAGCTGTGCATCTTGTTAGTTGTGAAAGAGCTGCATAACAAGAATATAACTTTGTTTAGCATGCCCCACAAACTGTTTTCACATTTTACAATTGAAAACAAATAATAAATAATTGCCACCATTGCCACCACCAATTTCTAGTTGTGGGTGATGTATTCAACTGCTAGCAATTCTTCATTAATATATTTGAATTTTACATTATTTAGGGCATCTTACATAATTTGTTTAGGATTTTTTAGTGGTAGCATCAGCCCACTCATTCATGTTCTCCACATCCACCATGATTACTGATTTGAGCAATTTTAATAGGGATACCATTGTAATAGGGGACCAATTAGGTTGGATAGCTGAACATGTGACAATCATGAGAATATATTTCTTCAACTTAAGAGGACACAGAAATAAAGGAGAAAACACCAAGATTACATTTTCTACAATATGTAAAGCCCTACAACATGAATCAAAATTACAACCTATCAGCATGAACAAGAACAATGCAGAGAGGTCTTCCAACACACTTCTTTCCCACCATTAGGCAAAAATCTTATAGTCCTTAACACAAACTGCATGCACTTAATTCATCTTCACATCACTGCAAACAAGTTCTTCATTTAAATAAAAAACAGACAAAAAGCTGACACTTTCTTAATTCATGTGTCCCTTGAGCCCTCTAAAGTGCACACATACTAATATGCTATCATATGCCCCTGTTTCAAAATTGGCCCACAACACAACCAGCACACCTTCATCTTCAAACTTCCAGATTGCTGGTTGCATTTCCACTATATTTGGCTATAAATGTCTGGTTCCCAACTGGTTAAAGAAACAGTAAATTTAGATTAATGTATAAAAAAGCTTTCATACATTTATCTTCCCCAAAGTGTAGAGCAAGTCCTTACATTGAGACAAGTGTCACTTTACTTAATCTGTGGTAATGATCAACTGCTCACATATTGCATCTTTACTCACATTTGTATATGAAAAAGGGCAAAATCTTCCACAAAGTTTGTGATGATGCTTTTAACGTGTGCCTCGGGGGCATAATTTCAAAACATGAGTTGGGGGAAGGCTGAATAGTGATCAATGACAGCCTGCCCAGTAAATATGCCAACAAGCAGGTTTCTCCCCAGATTTGGCCCCTTCTCCCAAGGTTGGGAGGGGGTGGAGTACAAGATGGTGGAGACGCTTGCTGAAGTCCCCCCCCCCTCCACCACCAACTGAACAGGAAACTACACCCCTGGCGTGGCTCCTCGAACTTGAAGACCACATCGAAGCGCACTACATATTCTGTCTTGTAAACTCACCCCCTTCTTCGTCCACCATCGCTACTGTTTGCCTTTGTTTTCATACTTGTCATGGGAAAACTCTACGATTTGATGTCGGTTTGCACATAAAAGGGAATAATATCACGTCCACGTTCACGACGCATCCCTTGTGTTACGCTGTTCACAACTGGTCACATTTGGCGCGCAATTGGTGCGTTGACATATTGCTTTAATTTAGTAGCCTTACTCGCAAGATATTTTGTAACATTTGCGCTGTAAGTGTCTTGTCATACCACTGATGACGTAAATAAGGGAGGAAGGCATGTCCGAAAAGGGGAGGAACGGGTCTGATGATTAAGAATCGGGTGTGTAGGCCCGAGGAAGAATTAAATGTGAAAACTGGGAGCTACATGGATGATCAGTTAGGTAAGTTCATTCCAAGTCATGAATGTGAAACAAGTTGAATTCGTGCCATCGTGTATTTACACCTAAGGGTGTTTGAGTTTTGGGCTCCCATGTTGCGTTTCCATCGGTGGGCGACCGTGAGTTCTGACCGCATCTTGCTGTCCATTTTGATAACTTTTCACAAGTTTTGTGTGACGATGTTCACATGCTCCCACCTTCCGCTTAATCAACATCTGAGAGCTGTTTGCAGCTGGTAGATTCTGAACAGCTGTAGTGTAATAATAGTATATGGCAATATAATGAAAAAATGTAGGCAATAAATAGTAATCCCAAATGCATATCTACATGTGGCACAGTGCTCTAGTTGTTGTTCTCTAACATTCCTTCCACATATGAAGGATACTGAATTATGGGGCTAAAACTGTAAAAATTTAGAGTTAAGAAAGAAGAATCAGGTCTGAGGCACATATCTGCACAGCTTAGTAGATGGCAGCTCTTTTTGGGGGTTCATGTAGGATCAAATTAAATGTAGAACTTTCTTTGTTAAATGCTTGTCAGCTGTGTATGTTGTGTACCAGTTGATACTCAATTTATTATTATTTATAGTTGTTTTATTATGATAATGCTTACTATCTTAATGACTATTTATGTTACAGATTCTGAAATATAAATTCTGAAATTTGAAAGCCTTCTGAATGGCATCGAACTACATTGGAATGCCCCTTTGCAGATTTTCCATACCAAAGGCACCTAACTATGCTGTAATATTGTATTCAAGCATTCACAAACATGGTTTTGCTGACATGCCTCATATCTGAGTAAAATAGTATTTGGATGATGTATGTACATGCATTATGTATGACATATCATGCACCACTTACATGCATGGTATATAGTCTTAATTAATACATGCATACTCATTTTTGCTGTGCAGGATAGATCAGAAAGATGGCAGAACAGAGGCCACCAGCTTCATCTTCCCCTGCTGGGTCACTCTCAGCCACCATGGGGCTGTCAAGGGGAATGCAGCAGCCACATAGCTCTGGCCCTGGGCCTGGCCAGCCATACCTGCCTCTCTCTGGACAGCAGCACCATTGGCAAATGTCACAGCAGCAGCAGCAGCAGCAACAGCAGCAGCAGCAGCAGCAGCAGCAACAGCAGCAACAGCAACAACAGCAACAACAACAACAACAACAACAACAACAACAACAACAACAGCAGCAGCAGCAGCAGCAGAAACAGCAGCAGCAACAGCAACAGCAACAGCAGCAACAACAGCAGCAGCAGCAACAACAGCAGCAGCAGCAACCTACTGGTGCCAGCTTTCAGCAGGGTCTGGATCCAATCTTGGTTACATGAGATAGTTTGGGAAATAGTGGTCTGGAGTGTAGGTGGATTCCATGGGGAAAATATATCACAGATCCATAATCAATCCTTTTCCATCTAGGCAGCGGTTTCATTAACCATGACTTTTGGGAAAGCCTGTGGTACAAAAGATGCAAATGTCTGTTACTAGCGTCATCTGATGTTGTACCACTAATCTGTTTCATACGTGGCTGTTTTTCTTCTACAAATTTCTGCATGGCTGTTTTCTTGTATTGTGCCACTGATCTGCGCTGGTGATCGCAGTTCCAGAGGGCGGTTACAGTGGCCTGCAACAGTCTGGCGGCGGTCTACAACAGCCCGGCAGCGGTCTGCAGCAGCCCGGCGGCGGTCTGCAGCAGTCTGGCAGTGGTCTGCAGCAGCTGCTGTCCTCTGGCACCGACCCGGCGCACCTGCCTCAGCCGTCGGCCGGTCCACCGCAGCACTACGCCGCCGCCGCGCAGCACCAGGCGCAGCATCAGCACTACGCGCATGGCGCGGCCGGGCCGCCGCAGCACCAGGCGACGGCGCGCACGCCGCCAGCCGCCGAGCCGGAGAGCGTGCCCGAGTACAGCCCGGCGGCCATACAGTCGGCCATCGCCAGCATGGAGGAGCGCGGCATGCACGACGACCCGCGCTACACCCAGCTGCTGGCCATCCAGGCCAAACAGCAGCAGGTGAGGTTGCGCCGCGGGCGGGCGCCGCAGCTCGGGCACGCGGCCGGGTCGGATTTACGAATGGATGTGCTATGGCTTAGACAAGTGACGCTGGTCCTGTGTCTCGATGCATGGGCTTTTGGGCTGCTGTTAGGCTTTAATGCAGCTAAGGTTTTGGATGATAGATGATAGGTCATACCAGATCACAAAATGTAGCCGAGCTTGTCAGGCACCATGTAGTTAGTACTGCGTCATTTTTTTTCCAAATGTGATGTTTTAGGCAACCGACGTTAGTTATTTTGAAGCATTCATGGTCACAAATTTCACTGATTTGATACGTCTTTCAACGGCTGTACGCGAAATAAGGCTTTGGCAGTAAGGTAACAAATTGGGCCATGCAGATGCAACAGCAACAACAGCACCAGCTGGTCCAACATCAGCAGCAGCAACAGCAGCAGCAGCAGCAACAGCAGCAGCAGCAGCAGCAGCAGCCACAGCAGCAGCAGACACAGCCTCAACAGCAGCTGGAGCAGCAACAGCAGGGCTACCACATGTCGGGCGGGATCGAACCGAGGGCGACGGCTGTGCCCAACCGATCGTCGGCCAGCCTGTTCCAGCAGCACCAGCTCCAGCAGCTGAAGGCGCAGATCATGGCGTACCGGCTGCTGGCCCGCAACCAGCCCATCCCCAGCAACTTCTTGAACCTGGCCATCGGAGGTGAGATGACGGCGGCCGGCTGTGTGGCCGGGGAACGCGCCTCGTAGGTGGAGCACGTGTACCTCCGTGCTGGACCGTAGCTGTCTTTGTTATGACAGGTTGTGTTACTGTGGGATAATGTGTGGTCATATGAATAGTTGAGGCCGGTCAGGCAGACAGGTGTGTGTGTTTTCTGAGATGCTTCTCATGTGTGTTGGTGGACATGTCGAAACGTATCTAGATGGGTTGGGTCGTATGTGGTCTGCATGTAATCAAGCCATGTTCTGTGGTATGGTGTTGATGACACCATAACAGCTGGCGGTTACAGCGACTTTCGGCGCTGTCCCGGCAGGCAAGCGTCCGGAGGCGCCGCCACCGCCACCTCCACAGCAGGCGCCGCCGCCACCGCCGCCCCAGCAGCCGCAGCAGCCAGCGTACGCCCTGAGCCGCTTGCTCGGACCGCGGCCAGCCGCGCTACCGCCCGGGCCGACGGCCGCCACCGCCCTGACGGCACCCGGTCTGCCGTCGGCAGCGGGCGCCGGGGCGCCGCGCCCGCCCGCGCCCGCCGTCACCGCCGCCGCCGCCGCCGCTGCTGCCGCTGTTGCTGCTGCTGCCCCCGCGCCGCCATCGACAGCTGCCCAGCCGGCAGCCGCCGCCCAGCCGCTCAAGCAGAGCCGGGTAAGAGCGTCGCATCGCCGCCGCCGCCGGAGCTTGGCTGTACCGCTGTGGAGAGCGGAAACATCGCCTTTGTTGCCACGGCTCACTATTGCCGAGTTTTGTGTTCAGTTTGGTTTGGTAGTTGCGCTAAATATGGCCGTATCTAACGAGGCTAATGTGGATGCCACGGGATCAAGCGGCCGCCGTGGTCACGAACCAGCGCTGGTTACCGCTCTCCAATGGCACTATTCACATTCGTCACCATGCGGCGCTCGTTTTGAGCAGCAGTTGCCCCACCCCATGGGTCACGACCGTGACCGGAATCAGTGCAAGACATTCCCAGCTGCACATGCAGTCCCTTTTCGCCAAGATTCGCCCTCGCTGCCGTCCTGTGCGGCGCTCCGGCGACACGGCGGCCGGCGCGGCGTGCCTCTGTGCCTGTCCTCACGTCCGCCTGTGCGTCGCGGCAGGTGACGCCGGTGCGGCGGCCGAGCGGCCTGGACCCGCTGCTGCTGCTGGACGAGCGTGAGAACCGGCTGGCGGCGCGCATTTCGTTGCGTATCGACCAGCTGAGCGGCCTGCCCGGCTCGCTGGCCGAGGACGTGCGCATGAGGTCGCAGATCGAGCTGAGAGCGCTGCGCCTGCTCAACTTTCAGCGCCAGCTGCGGCAGGAGGTCAGCTCGGCGTCAGGGGCGACACAGGTGCCACCAGTGCCGTCACCGTGTAATCGGCAACAGTAGAACTTGGCCACCGTCACTGTCATCGTCTCAGCCATTGCAACCACCACAATTGCTTGTGACTGTGCCAGGAACACCACGTATCTTCGTCATCACTATTTCCGTTCCGCCATCCCTTCACGATCAACAGCGTATTACATTACCACCATTGCCGTCGCTTGAAATGCGTCACTTACTACCGCCGCTGCCGCCGTACTGGTGTTTGTGGTGGCTAGATCGACCTCGGTCGGCTTGTGGGGTTGTTTTTGTCGAGGTCTTGATCGCGGCTGGCGTCAGGTTTTGTCATGGATAATGACCGGTGTGGTGAGGGGGGGGGGGGGGACGGATGCTGCACCATGGTGCGCTGTTCTCGGCTGGGAATGACATGCGCTACGCTTCAGATCAGGTGGAGTGCTGGGCCTTATTGCAGCTGGTGACATGTGGCATGCAAGTGCTGGCAATGCCGTCGTTGGAACAAAGCTAGCGTGATTTGTGGGTTCAGAAGTCTCGGAACCCCTATCTCTGATACTTTATTCGCGTTACTCCCGTATACGTAACACGCCACTTTTTTAAGAGACGTGTCCGAACAATATGTACGCCTGTGACCCGCTGCACTGCAGGGGTTACGAACCAATTGATCCTACCAAATCCAGACACCCAAACGACCAATTCGTCTGGCTACTGCGATTTGGGCGTATCGCCGACCGCGGTGAGTCCTCGTCCGATCGCCGTGGTGCCGCGTCGCTCTCACGCCCCCCCCCCCCCCCCCCTCTCGCCCTGCCGCAGGTGCTGGAGATGACCCGGCGGGACACCACACTCGAGACGGTCCACAACCCAACCCTCTACAAGCGTAAGAAGCGCCAGGGCCTGCGCGAGGCGCGCATCACGGAGCGTCTTGAGAAGCAGCAGCGCTATGAGGCCGAGAAGAAGAAGCGTCAGAAACACATGGTGAGCTGGCCGGGGCTCGGAGGTTTGTACCTACGCCGCCTGCTCGCGCTGACGCTCGCGGCACGCAGTATTGATGGCATCACTGTACTGTCTCTGTGGTATACTCTGTAAGGCTGTTATCAGCAGGAGCCTATGCATGCCATCGTCCAGCAGGTGGGTTGTAAAGTTACCATGCTCCCGGATTAGGCAACGGACCGCCAATAGCGTCTTCTGATCGGGCTGAACAAGCTGGATGGTCAGTTTCAGCCCGTTTTCCGACGGCCTGTCGATCCCGACCCACAGTGCATTGCTCTGGCCGCCGCAGTCGGGACTTAGCCGCCATCTGCCACCACCACAACGCTCCAGCCGGCGGATGGCAGGCGACTCCGCCCTCTGTGCCGTCCCACCTCTGACGGCGCGCTGACCCCACCCTCCCCTCCAGCCGGCGGATGGCAGGCGACTCCGCCCTCTGTGCCGTCCGCACCTCTGACGGCGCGCTGACCCCACCCTCCCCTCCAGCCGGCGGATGGCAGGCGACTCCGCCCTCTGTGCCGTCCGCACCTCTGACGGCGCGCTGACCCCACCCTCCCCTCCAGCCGGCGGATGGCAGGCGACTCCGCCCTCTGTGCCGTCCGCACCTCTGACGGCCGCGCTGACCCCCCACCCTCCCCCGCAGGAGTACCTGGCGGCGGTGCTGCAGCACGGCAAGGAGCTGCGCGAGTTCCACCGCAACGGCCAGCTGCGGCTGCAGAAGGTGAACAAGGCTGTGCAGGTGCACCACGCCAACACGGAGCGCGAGAAACAGAAGGAGCAGGAGCGCATCGAGAAGGAGCGCATGCGCCGACTGATGGCCGAGGACGAGGAGGGCTATCGCAAGCTCATCGACCAGAAGAAGGACAAGCGGCTGGCGCTGCTGCTGCAGCAGACCGACGAATACATCGCTAACCTCACCGAGATGGTCAAGCAGCACAAGGTGGGCGTCGGGCTGGCGGCTGGGCTGGGGCTGAGGGATGTCTGGGGTGACCGAAGCCGCGAGGGACTTCGGTGATCACCGCACAGACCGCCGCGTCGCTGGTCATCCGGGCTGCCGAAGGTTCGCTCGCGGCGTGTTGTGGAGTGGCGTTTTGACGCACGGAGTCGGGTCACTGACAGTCGGTGCCGTGTGCACTGCGCTGGTTGTGATGTGTGGGCCTCCGCGTATTCCTCTAATCCCGGCTCTGAACGCCCGCTGCGGCGGCCGCTGTGCACCGTGCCAAAGTATGGCACTGACATGCGAATGCAGCGCCACAGCGAACCACTGCGACGTTATTTTAGACGATTGCGTGCAATGTCGCACGATGCGACCCAAAGCACGTGCACGTGACGTACTTGGCGGCCTTGCTTGGCCCGAAGCGGCGCCGCGTGAGCAGTGGGGCTTGCCGGAGGCTGACCGCGCCGTACGGGCGGACAGGCGGAGCTGCGACGCAAGAAGCTGGAGCATGAGCGGGCGCGCCACGACGGCGACCCGAGCGAGCAGCGCGTGATCGTCACAAACACCGAGAGCGGCCTGACGCTGGCCGGCGAGGAGGCGCCGCGCGCCGCCGAACTCCAGGTGGGCCTCCGGCTTCGGCGCCGCGCCACCCGCGGGGGTGGGCCCAGCGCTGAGGAGACACGTGTGGGCAGAGATTGTTGTGGACTATGGTGTTGTGTTTTTGTGGCGCATACATTTCATTAGGGTGGAGGCAAGAACGTGTTTTCGAACAAATGAGTAGTTCACCTGCCATTTTAGCTTCTTTTGCAAGCTTTTGGTTGGCTAGCCGTACATTTATGTGGACAAGTGCAAGGAATATGGGACGCATTGAAGCTCCATCCATGCATGCACAGTTATATCAGTGTCCATGTCTTATAATGCATTTGTATCACTGCCTGTCAATTACTAAGTATTAGTAACACTTGCAGTAAGGCTAAACAAAACTTATGGTGTTTCAACCTTAGTGAATCTCACAAAAAGCAACCACCTCGCGCATGTTTGTGATATCCATGACTACATTGGTGCTGACCATTGAAGCTATGATATTCAAGGCATGCCTCGCCGCACTACCCCAAACAATCTGATCTGTTCACGGCTGTGAAGCCGTGGTCCAAGCGATTGACAGCTGGTCTGCGCGGGGCAGGCGTGGCTGGACGCCCACCCGGGCTGGGTGGTGGCGCCGGACGAGTACGAGGATGACCCGGAGGAAGAGCAGCAGGAGCAGAAGCAGGGTCAAGAGCACGGTCAGGGGCAGACCGTCGAGCCGGAGGCAGAGGGCGACCCCGCAGCCACCGCCTCCAAGACGCGCGCCGACGATGACGAGTATAAGAAGGCTGAGGGCGAGGCCAACTACTACAGGTGAGGCCGGGACCGCGCGCCGCCGCCAGGGTCGCGCCCAGACCGACGGCTGATGGGGGGTGCCGCCTGGCGGCATATGGCAGCGACCCGCCCGGCCTTGTCGCCGGTCAGTTCCTTCGCGCGGTGATGAGGTTCTGTCGACCCTTCTCTTCGTAGCGACGCGTCATTCAGAGGCATGCCCTTCCATTCAGCATTCTTTTCGTTTTCATGGTTTTGCCGATCTGAGACCGCGCACGTGCTGCGCCCGTTCAGTTCTGCTGCGAAGCCCTGTAGACTCGGATGTGGGTGCATGCAGGCGGAGGCGGCCGCGCTTGGTGCGGTTTGGCACGTCTGGAGTCGGCCGGAGCGATCTCACGCAGCGTGTCTGCCGTCAGTATCGCCCACGCCATCCATGAGACGGTGACGGAACAGGCGTCCATCATGGTGAATGGCAAGCTGAAGGAATACCAGGTCAAGGGTCTCGAGTGGCTTGTCTCCCTGTACAACAATAACTTGAATGGTATGCATTTTGCTCCAGCGTGAACACGCTAAATCGTGTGCAGATACCCGCTGCCAGTTAGCGGGCACTTTTTGTTGTTGTCTTTCTGTTTGCCACCTTGTGTTTTGCAGTCTGTGCCCTGTTATCTTCCGTGACGCCTCAGTCGTTCTCTTGTTTTCACTTCTCTCGGACTCTCCGCCTTGTCTGCGTGTCACCTCTCTGTCGATCGCTGTCCACTCCGTACCCTGAGTGGCTCAACCGCCATAGACGACAGAAGCGAGCCACGGTCCGGGTCGTGGTCAGTCCACGGTCCACGGTCGTGGTCAGTCCACGGTCCACGGTTGTGGTCAGTCCACGGTCCACGGTCGTGGCCAGTCCACGGTCCACGGTCGTGGTCAGTCCACGGTCCACGGTCGTGGTCAGTCCACGGTCCACGGTCGTGGTCAGTCCACGGTCCACGGTCGTGGTCAGTCCACGGTCCACGGTCGTAGTCAGTCCGCGGTCCACGGTTGTGGTCAGTCCACGGTCCACGGTCGTGGTCAGTCCACGGTCCACGGTCGTAGTCAGTCCGTGGTCCACGGTCGTGGTCAGTCCACGGTCCGCGGTTGTGGTCAGTCCGTGGTCGCCGTTATCTCGGGCGTCGCTCGCGTTCGTCTCGCGCGGCACGGGATGCTCATCTCACTACGCGCCGTGGGTTCGATGTTGCCGTCGCTCGCCGCGAACCGCTGCTGCCGCTCGCCGCCAGGAATTTTGGCGGACGAGATGGGTCTGGGCAAGACTATCCAGACGATCGCGCTCGTCACCTACCTGATGGAGAAGAAGAAGGTGAACGGGCCGTACCTCATCATCCTGCCGCTCTCCACGCTCTCCAACTGGGTGCTGGAGTTCGAGAAGTGGGCGCCGTCGGTGCGCGTGGTGGCCTACAAGGGCTCGCCGGCGGCTAGGCGCCACATTCAGAACCAGATGCGCGCCTCCAAGTTCAATGTGCTGCTCACAACGTACGAGTACATCATCCGCGACAAGGCAGCGCTCTCCAAGGTACGGACGGGCTGCGGCCTGACGCGGCAGCGCAGCCTCTGGATGTGAAACTGACGTGTCGGGATGTAGGGGTACTGCATATCGTTTTAATAACATGGACACATTCTTGAAAAACAAAGGCAATGCTTGTGATGACTTGTACGGTGGGTGTTGAACGTTCTTTCGTCTTGTCCGTTCGTGACACAAGTGTGTTGCGGTGTCAATTTGTTCCCAATTATTCCCATTTAAACCTGTCGATCTATATGTGCTCTCTATTTCAGCTCATCGACCGCTGTGTTCAAAGGCAACTACTTGCCAATGACATTCCTGAGCCTGTTTAGATATTGTCTTCACAGCATCTACAGAGTGTGCAGCTGGCTCGACCTTCGATAACTTAATCACCGCTCCAACCGCGGTCTCTGCTCTCCCCAGAGCCGCTGGAAGTACATGATCATCGACGAGGGCCACCGTATGAAGAACCACCACTGCAAGCTTACCATGGTGCTGAACACGTCGTACGGCGCGCCGCACCGGCTCCTGCTGACGGGCACGCCGCTGCAGAACAAGCTGCCCGAGCTGTGGTCGCTGCTCAACTTCCTGCTGCCCTCCATCTTCAAGGCCGTCTCCACCTTCGAGCAGTGGTTCAACGCACCGTTCGCCACCACTGGGGAAAAGGTGAGAAAGGCGGTCCGTTGCGGGTTTGATGTGCGTTGACCTGATGCACACGACTTGCCAACGAAACGTTATCGGCTCGGTGTACAAGCGACTCCGCACCGCGGGAGCTCCGTGGTCAGACTGTAGCTGTCCGGCTCACGCACGCGCACGCCCCGACTGCGACCGCCGTCGAAGGCAGTGTTCTTCGACGACCTTGACCCGAGTGCGGCTGTCGGGACGACCCGCTCCGGTCAGCCGCTGCCCGGCTGGTTGACTCACTACTCTGGAGGGCTGCAGGATCGATTCGGACAGCGTGGCTGGCGATAATTTCGGAGTGGTGTGTGGTATTAACGCCAGTGTCAGCACCGGGAGAGAAGTTACGAGTACACCCGGGGGACCAGCCATGGGTAATATATGTCTGACATTGTACCTGGCTGGCCGCGGGGTATACGACCTTACGACCTTGACCTTGGTTGTGCCAGACAAGCTCTGGCCTGTCGCCCCGGTTCGTGCGCCTGTGACTCCCTGACCCCGGGCCGCCGCGTCGACAGGTGGAGCTGAATGAGGAGGAGACGATCCTCATCATCCGCCGACTGCACAAGGTGCTGCGCCCGTTCCTGCTGCGCCGCCTCAAGAAGGAGGTCGAGTCCCAGCTGCCCGACAAGGTCAGCCTCGCGAACGATGCCCCAGATCGGGTCTGGCGCGCGCCCTGTCGTGGGCGGGGCCCATTCACTGCTCCAATTGCCACCTCGAGGTGTGGATAGATCGTTTTCGAAACCAGTGGGAAGACGTCTGTCGGCTATGTGCGTCGGTCATGCATCGCAGGATACCTCAGAGCATCGTGTTTGATTTAAAGTTCGAGGGAAGTATGGTCGTTTTGAGCGCACCAAGTTCGGCGGGATGGGGTCATAGAAATCCGCGTCGGACCATTGTGGTATCACCCCATGCGTGCATTGCACTGTCCCTGAGCACCCCAGGTCAGTAGTGGCTTGTGCCAGACTGTGCATGCCGCCGGCGACGCCTCGTTGACCGCCGCCGGCGCACCGCCAGGTGGAGTACATCATCAAGTGCGAGATGTCGGCCGTGCAGCGTCTGCTCTACCGGCACATGCAGTCCAAGGGCATCATGCTGACGGACGGCAAGAGCGGCGGCGCCGGCCGCGGCGGCTCCAAGGCGCTCATGAACACCATCATGCAGCTGCGCAAGCTGTGCAACCACCCGTTCATGTTCCAGCACATCGAGGAGGCATACTGCAAGCACGCCGGCTTCCCGAGCAACGTCGTGACGGGGTGGGTGGGCCGGGCCGAGCGGCACGCCTGCAGGGAGAGGGCGGGCGACGCCGGTGTGTCTGCGCCTGGGACCGCCAGTCTGGGTGTGGGGAGTGCAGACTCGCTGGTCGTGACTGGGAGGGTGGTGCTGGTGGTCAGGGACGCGGGAGTTCGCCCGTGTCAGCTTTGTTGGAAGTGCCAGGCGGTCGATATTGTTCAGCCGGCGGTCACGGGCATTTTCTCACATTCATATCACTGGGGGTGTTTTGGCTGTCTGGTCCTAGGGGTGTTTCGATCATCACAGCCATTCGGCCGATTGTCCTGGCTGGAACGGCGATAGGTGGCCACGGCCACGGGTACAGGGAGAAGTATATTATGTTAGTCATCGGTGTAGCGTTAGCTTCTCAGGACATCTAACGTTTACCCTGACTTGCGACAAATATATTGATATTTGGGTGCAAATCAGCTTAAATTATTTGGAATATGAAAAATAAAAATGTAACAAAGCATTCAAACATTTTGGTCGCATAGAAAAGTATCTGACCGATGATGGTAACGCGACCGGCTGCAAGTCAGGTTTTATGATTTTGAATACAAAAAATGAGAAAATATTACATCTAAAATTTTCAAGTATTTCGGCCGCATACCTAAATATTTCACCGCTGATGGTAACGCTCAAGGTCAAAGTAAAGGATGGAACGCTTTGGCGATGTGGTTGGCAATTTTGTCGTTGGTTCTGGATTGCGTCACGTTTTGTTGGCGCCGTGTTTGATGTTGGCGGGAAAATGCGCCGACCGTCACAACCACCCTTCAGCCGATCCCTGTAACGCTGTTTGCCAGCGTCCATTGCCATACCTTGTTAAGAATCGTCATCACCGGTTGCCGATCATGCGAAGTATTTTAGTCATGCTGGTTCTCCCGAGGCACACATGCGACAAGTCGGCCACCTTCTGGCGTGGTTTGGTGCCATTGTCCCAGCATCATCAGTGTCTTGTTCGTATTCAGCTGGCATGTTGGGCTGCTTTCTCAGCCCTGTTGATTAGTGTGCGCCACCTACCGGTGTCTGAGCTGCCGCCGCTCCCTCCGGGCGTGTGGCGGCTTGTGGTCCTGCTCCGCATCCTTGTCCATCTGAACTGCCGCCGCTCCCTCCGGGCGTGTGGCGGCGTGTGGTCCTGCTCCGCGTCCTTGTCCATCTGAACTGCCACCGCTCCCTCCGGGCTTGTGGCGGCGTGTGGTCCTGCTCCGTGTCCGTGTCCATCTGAGCCGCCGCCGCTCTCTCCGGGCGTGTGCGGTGTGTGATCCTGCTCCGCGTCCTTGTCCATCTGAGCTGCCGCCGCTCCCTCCGGGCGTGTGGCGGCGTGTGGTCCTGCTCCGCGTCCTTGTCCATCTGAGCTGCCGCCGCTCCCTCCGGGCGTGTGCGGTGTGTGGTCCTGCTGCGCGTCCGTGTCCATCTGAGCTGCCGCCGCTCCCTCCGGGCGTGTGCGGTGTGTGGTCCTGCTCCGCGTCCGTGTCCATCTGAGCTGCCGCCGCTCTCTCCGGGCGTGTGCGGTGTGTGGTCCTGCCCCGTGTCCGTGTCCGCCTGCCGCGGCCACGGCTGACTTCCGCCGACGCCGCCGACGCCGCAGACCCGACCTGTTCCGGGCGTCGGGCAAGTTCGAGCTGATGGACCGGATCCTGCCCAAGCTGAAACACTGCGGCCACCGCGTGCTGCTCTTCTGCCAGATGACGCAGCTGATGGCCATCATGGAGGACTATCTCAACTACAAGTGCTACAAGTGAGTGATATCGCTCGACGGCCGGTGGCGAAGCGACGCGCGACTGGGTGGGGTTGCGCCTGGTGGATGTACTGCTGCCATGCGTGATGGGATGACGTCGTTGTGTTGCGGGCGGTCAGCGAATGGAATTGTGTCCGGGAGGCTCAGATCCGATGAAACTGTGGCTTGAAGGCCCAAGTCCCGTTCAGAATGCCTTCGAAGTGCCCGCCTCTATGTCGTCGTGCATGGCCTGGTTAAATGTTTGGCGTGACTGGCGAATCAGTGCCGTGGCCCAGCCGCTGCGCTGGACATGCGTGTGAAGTGTCAGATGTTCGTCAGGTATCTCCGGCTGGACGGCACCACCAAAGCAGAGGAACGTGGTGACCTGCTGAAGGCCTTCAACGAGCCCAACTCAGAGTACTTCCTCTTCATGCTGTCCACTCGCGCCGGAGGACTGGGCCTCAACCTGCAGGTACCGGCCGGTCGGCTGGCTCTGGTGCTCGGCTTATGTTATCGGCCGCCTGCTTGCCTGCTCACGTCATTCCAGCGCTGTTTCTCTCCTTTTCGCTGTCTGTTTCCATCATCATTATTTCTCACTCTGTCGGGCCCCGTTCCGTATTCATATGTTATTCTCTCTCCTTCGTCCAGTGTAAATAATCAATGCAGTTGACGCACCCTTTAAGCTCAATCACTAATTCCTCAGTCTTTTCGTTTCTTGCTTACTTGATTTACTCGCCTTTCTATGACCCTCATCATCGCTCCGATTTCCTTTCCCCGTCTCCCACAGTCGCTGAAAAGCTTCAACTACGCATGCAACGTATCTCCAACCAGCGACACATGCATATGTGTGACGTTCACGCGGACAGTTGCAAATGATCAGCCCCCCCCCCCGCGCATTCTCCCCCAGACGGCGGACACGGTGGTGATCTTCGACAGCGACTGGAACCCGCACCAGGACCTGCAGGCGCAGGACCGCGCCCACCGCATCGGCCAGAAGAACGAGGTGCGCGTGCTCCGGCTCATGTCCGTCAACACGGTCGAGGAGCGCATCCTGGCCGCCGCCAAGTGAGTGGAGCGCTTACACACTGGCGACACCGGAGGCCGGGCCTGACCGACAGATCGCAGGCGGAAGGGTTCGTCTCGGGTCGGAAGTGAGCGGCGTGTGAGGGAGGTGGTACTGTCTGTCTGCAGACGGCGCGTTAAGTTTGGCCCCGCCGCAGCGCGCGCGCAGGATTGAACGTGCCACCCGCGCATTGACCAGCCTTCCGGCGTCACTGCCACCGCTCGAAACTGCCTTGCGCGGCGGCGGTGGGCTGTGGGCCGCACTCGCCGCCTTCACGCCGTGCCAAACCGCTGTGCGACGGCCCTGGCCCTGTCAGTGTAGCCCACCTTCAAACCCCCGCACAGTCCGCTGTACGACCACTTGGCGGGCGATGCGGGACGTGCTGCGGAGGCCGCTGCGTCACGCCAGCGCGTTTTCCGTGACGCCTCGCAAGGTGGGTCTGTCAGGAGGCCGTGGCGTGGTGTCGCGTTAATGTGCGTCGCCAGCTGGTCTGATGGTTCGTCCCCTGTCCACGCCAGGTATAAGCTGAACATGGACGAGAAGGTGATCCAGGCTGGCAAGTTTGACCAGAAGTCGACGGGCACGGAGCGCCGCCAGATGCTGCAGAGCATCCTGCAGGACGAGGAGCTGGACGAGGAGGTCCGTAGTAAGGCGCGCTCGGCGTGGCGTAGCGTCCGGCTGACACTGGCGTCTTGGGTCGCGGTCTTGGCGTCAGCACGACTGTGTGCGTTTGCCCTTGAGAGGCCATCGCCATTCTTTAAAAAAACATTTAGTCCGCGCCTTTTGATTGGATGGATTTCTGGGATCAGCGCCCGCACTAAGCAGTGTTTGTTTGCGTGAGCACCGACTCCACTGTGCGATCGTGAAATTCCAGGTCAATGATAAGGTGGTACGGCCAGAGCAACACTCGGCTACGGCGTGTCGCAACACTCAGCACGATCCGTCCTGCCCTCTGACTCTACATGACCTTAGGCGGAGCCGCTGCCACTGGCCACAGGCCATCCCAGCTAGGGGCAAATGGGTCCTGCCGTAAAGTGGCTCGAGCACACCCTGCCACGGCTAGGTTAATTAGAGGGTGGGTGTTTCAATCAATGATTTGTTTGAACGGATAAGTAGTGGCAACTCGGCTTGACGATAAGGCAGAAGACCCATGGGTTGCAGCAGACAGCCTTACAAAAATGGCCTACTCTCACGTATTCCGCACTGAATATGTCCGGGATCAACCAAGCGGGGAACACACATGCACAGATGGGAGCACTGGCCGTTTTGGTCATATGCCATCGGGCGAAGGTTTGTTTTGGGGCGATTATGCTCTCAGCTCACATTCCTGCGGAAACTCGCGGTTGTGCATAGAAAGAAACGTATCCTGACACTTCTACGGTATTTGCCACCCACTCTTCCTACCTTAAACTGTGAACCGACCCCATCCCCAACCGCTCGACTCCCAACGCCCGCGTCTCCAGGAGGAGAACGAGGTGCCCGACGAGGAGACGGTGAACCAGATGATCGCGCGCAGCGAGGAGGAGCTGCAGATCTACCAGCAGCTGGACCTGGAGCGGCGGCGCGACGAGGCGCGCCTGGGCGCCCAGCGCCGGCCGCGCCTCATCGAGGAGTCCGAGCTGCCCGACTGGCTGCTGCGCGACGAGGCCGAGATCGACGAGCTGACGCGGGAGGAGGACGACAGCGGCCTGTTCGGCCGCGGCAGCCGCGCCCGCAAGGAGGTCGACTACTCGGACCGGCTCAACGACCGAGACTGGTTACGCGCCATCGGGGTGAGACGAGAGGGGCGAAGGGCCGGGACACGCGGCTTTGTGCTGGGTTGTCTACGGGAGCGGGATATAAAGTGATGCTCACTTGCGTGGTGTCTTTTTTTGGTTTTGTTTTGTTTTGTTTTGTTTTGTTTTGTTCTTTTTTTGCTTCGAGCAAACGATGCGCTTGGGCTGTCTTTGCGAGTAAAGATAGCATGATGCCCTTTTGCCGGAAAATATACACCTGCTGACGACCTGTGCTCAGAACAAAATTGTTCACAGAAATTATCGACTCGTGTGATTGTCGTGTGTATCGGCTTCTTTTATGTAAGTTGACTTCTCCCAAGGCGGTGGACGAGGACGGCAACGAAATTCTGGAGGACGAGGAGGAAGAGCAGGTCAAGAAGCGTGGCCGGCGCGCGGGTCCGTCCCGTTCATCCGGCACTGGGCGAAAAAGAGCGCGCGACGATGAGGACGAGCGGCCACGCAAGAAGCGAGGCCGACCGAGCGGCGTGGTGGCCGTCACCCCGCGCATGCGCAGAGCCATGCGCAGCGCTGTCCAGAGCCTTGTTGACTACACGGACGCGTAAGGAGGCGGAAGAGGAATGTCCCGGACTGTTGTGCTGGTTCAGAAAGTCTACCATTCGTTTGGCGTTGTTTTGTTCTGCAGCACCGTCCTGCACTCACACGGCTAGGGATAAGAATAACTAAAGAATGGAACGCGTTTTTTCAAAATTATTGTTAATGGTAGTGCCAAATAACAACTTGATAGTTGACCTGACCGGACCATTTGTGTGCGTACCTGCCGGCACACCAACGAGCCTGCAACATTACCCCTATCCTCCCAGGGACGGCCGAGTGCTCATCGATCCGTTCTTTAAGCTGCCGTCGCGGAAGGAGCTGCCGGACTACCACGAGGTCATCAAGAAGCCGATGGACGTCAAGAGGATGCTGGGCAAGATCGAGGACAGCAAGGTAAGTCACTGCAGAGGCGCGCCGGCCGAGGCCAGTCTCAGCGGACCCGGTCCGTCATTTATGTCAACATTGGGTCTCTCAGACATGGTGGCCATCCGCTATGACAGACCGTGCTTGTCATTAGTTCACGCCTGCTGCACCCAGCTGGCGTCACGGCGGTAGCATTTGTGGAAGGATACCGCTGTCTCCAAGTGTTCGGGCTGACGCGCTTGACACGTCTGAGCTTCGTTGCATCGCTTTTCATCTCGCTGAGGTCTATAGCGTATCTCGAGCGACGCACTTTGTACTGAGCCTGTGACATCCCAGCCACGCCCAAGTGCGTGTGCCGCGCCTCACTGAACCCTCGCCTGGTCGCAGTATGGTGACCTGGACGACCTGGAGGCCGACGTCACGCTCATGTGCAAGAACGCCCAGCAGTACAATGAGGAGACGTCGCTGATCTACGAGGACAGCATCGTGCTGGAGCGAGTGTGGGCGGCGGCGCGGCGGCAGACCGAGCTGCAGCTGGCGGCCGCGCCCGACAACGAGAACGGTCAGTGGTCTCCGTAGGGTTATACAAGAACGGTCAGTGGTCTCTCTAGGGTTAGACAAGAACGGTCAGGGATCTCGGTGGTGTTAGACGAGAACGGCCAGTGGCTTCTTTGGGTCAGACGAAGAGAACGGTCAGCGGTCCCGGCGGGTTCGGACAGGAAGTGGGGTCATTAGGGGGGTCATAAGTCGGTAGGTGGTCTCCATGAGGGGTCAGACGGTGAGAATGACTAGCGCGCTCCCAGCAGTGGCACGATGGGGGCTCGCCGGCTCGTGGTCCGTGTTGGGTGCCAGAATGCGGCAGAGAGCAGGCAGTCACCGCAGTGGTGGCCGGACAGTGGAGGGGGTAGTGGCCTCAGCGTTGTGAGCCGGACGGAGGGGACGTCCAACGGTCTCGCTGGTGGCTGGTCACCTAGTAAGATCGAGAGTGTCCGCGGAACTCTGCGGAGTCGGTCAGTCGAAGGCTGTGAACCGTAAGCTGAGATCAGTAGAATACTTCTCAGCTCTTAGGTAGAATTCATTAGCGGCGCACCATCCGCCCTGAGCTCCATACCTGGACAGGTACATACTCTCTCTGTGTGATTGAAGCATGTTGTGTGTGTGTGTGTGTGTGTGTGTGTGTGTGTGTGTGTGTGTGTGTGTGTGTGTGTGTGTGTGTGTGCGTGCGTGCGTGCGTGCGTGCGTGCGTGCGTGCGTGCGTGCGTGCGTGCGTGCGTGCGTGCGTGCGTACGTGCGTGCGTGTGTGTGTACGTGGAACGGCCTGGCGGTCATGGTGTAAAAAAACAACATTCGTTTCCCTCTGGAGCCTGTCAATGACCAAGGCAATGGCAGTGTCATGTTTTGCTTAAGGTGACTGCTGTGCTTTTGTATTCTGCTGCTATTGAACGCACCAGACACTTTCCTGTGTACAGATCCTCCTTGTCCCAATCGTGAATTCAGCTGATAGATCAGAGTTTGTTCTCACCAGACGAGGAAGAGGACGAGGAGGACTCCTCCTCGAAGCGCAAGTCTCGCGGTAGCCGTCACGTCCCGAAAAAGCGCCGGAAGCGGATCGTGGAGGACGAGGAAGACGAGGATGAGGACGAAGAGTTGGGCTAGCATGGCACACACTGAACGCTCGATGCGTCTGTTCACGTGTACGTCCGTGCGTGTGTGCATGGACAGTCATCTACGGTGCCTTACGATCTTCGATGCGTGGTTCGGTTCACCCTGGTTGGGTGATTGGCTGGTGCGCCTGTTCGTTCAGTGCGTCAGAGGCGGCGGTGCGCTCACTCGCGATGTCCCGTCCGCGCGCCGCGCCCGGCGCTCCGTGCGTCGTCAGCTTGTGATGTCACCGGTAGGTAGCGGTGACGTCACCGGTCCGTCCAGGCCGGGCGGGCCCGGCTGTGCGGTGGTGAGCGCCGCGCGTGCTCCGCTGTCCGCCTGGCGTGCCCGTGGAGGCGCCGTCTCCCAGAGGCCACGCCGGCTCAGCGACGGGCTGCGCTTAGCTCGTGCTCTAGCTTAGGTGGGCGGGCAGTGTGCGCACGCGGGGGCGCTGTGAGGCGGTGGGCATGGCGCGACTCGCCCCACCGGGGGGTCGGAAGATCTCGGGGGTGGGGGAGGGCCCCGGGGTGCGCGTACACGGAAGTCCGCTTCCCAGGCGCCAGCGACACCGCGGAGCATTGCCGGCGGCGTGGTACGCACTCTTTGGTATTGCTAGGTGCGGGGTTGCAGCAATAAAGCGCTCGGATAGCGACGGATGTTCGTGTGTGTGCCACCAAGGCTTAGGACGACACGTTGCATTCGATCATTCACGTCTGCACAGCAGAGGGTATATAAAAGTGGCAAGTTAGAGGCGAGTTCCAGGAGCGACAAAAGCGGGTGGCGTTGCGGGTCAGGGATGCCGCGGTCACCAAGGACTATCAGCTTACGGGGGCAGCAACAGATCGCATTCAGTTGACCTGTCTTTTCCACCTCATTGAAATACTGGATACGCCTATGGTACATTTTCATACATGTCACGCGGGCACCATTGTTTGTTAACAGCAACACTAGCCGACAACAATATTACTCGCTGCTTCTCCCCTTTTCACCGCCCCGTGAGGCGCCCTGGCTCCGCTAAAACTAACCAAACGGCCAGACCGTTTGACTCACGCGTGTTTATGATAAAAAGCAAGGCACCACCGCATTCAGTCCGCACGCAGCCAACCAAAATCCGCTGTGATAATTTTGGTTATCTCATTTTGCGTCTCCTGCAAGCACCCGTACGGTCAGGCTTTACTGAAACTGCACTAACTTTACTCTCCTAAACTTTACTTTTTCCGTAACTTTGAGATACGTCAGGAATTTAGCAATCTAAAATAAGTTTTCTGTGTCTGTTTCGGTTGCGTTAAGATCGAGTGGTAAACCTCACAGCATTGTCAAATCAAAACACCTGATTTTTTGTTTTATTGCCATTACTGAAATCGAAATGTTGCCTTTCTCACAAGTGTACATTACTTCTAGTCAAAGCAAACACATAACCGGTCCAAGTAATGCCCAGGTCATGATCAAAAACACACCCAATTTACGCTAGAACCTGTCCTACTGCATTTGCTGAATTGTGAGGCGTTAACATGATACTGGATTGACCGTTTTGCCTTCAGCTCAACAAACTGATCAGTACAACAGTACAGTACAACAAGTATTAGTGCAGCAAACTGGTCAGCATCAATACTCCATGTTTTTGTGTTAGTTACGATTGCTTCACTAGGACCAAAATATAATCCGCCACTGTGATATTTCCGATGCAACCGAAAGGACGCGAGTTTAAAGGGCCCTGCGCATCCACACGTTGCATAAGTATCAAAAAACTACTGTGACGCGACCAGCGTATGCATCTTACATAGTATGTCGTCGCGTTCGTTGCTGGGTTTACAACGCGGTGACCTTACGCTCCACTCCTCTGCCACTTATTTACTTTTTGTGCGATACACATGCATAACTAATTGTCCCATTGGTTTTGTTCCCAATCGTGTCGATACGCGCGATTTGCACGGGGGCGCATAGCTTTATTTCCACTTTTGCGCATTAGATGTGCTGTTTTTTTCCCTCCCACGCGGTTTGATAATGTGAATTAATCGTTTTGGGCAGTTTTGTCAAGGATAGATGTTTTCATAGGAATCCTTTTGAAGTCACTGATGCCTTATGAAACATTACATAAACGCCTCAGCCAGCCGCCACCACTCCGTGTCGCACATTCCCGGTGTTGACGAGCAAAAGAGAACATTCGCAGATGATCTACTGGAGCAATAGGCTTCTCCTCTTCGAGCCCTGGTCGTCAGTTGCAATGTTCCCGCCCTGCTAAACGCCAGCCATAATGTCGCTAGAACAGTAGACTGACATCAGCATATGACAGTATGCCGCTTCTCGCCTCTGGTCCCAGTGCTCGAGACAGTTGCACTTTCTACAGTTTGCAAGACACGAGTGGACCGGCTGGGCAACTACTCCCGAGATGTTTCTCTCACCTTGCTAAGGCTGTGAGACTTCCTCAAGCCCCACGTATGCAGGTGTCGGCCAACCGTCCGGGACCGGTTGGTAAGTACGCTTGGTATTATGCTTTGTGCATTTGCGTAACATCGGAAAATGGCGCACGCTTTCTTGCTGTCACACGGCGGTCTTGTCCGGCTTATGCTTGTAGTTCCATCCGAGAACTGATCACCGGCGCGGCATAACCAGGAGCCATGGATGATGCAACCAGCAACCAGAGACTGTGTTTTAAGCTCATCCATTATGGAAAGGCTTTTCAACAGCCGGGTTGAAATATTTGCCAAGTTGACCAGGCACCTTACTTCTGTGTGTTAAGACAATACATGCTTCATACACGCATATCCGAAATATTTTACAACATATTCCACAAATTTAGTCAACCCGCCAAAACTCACCGTAGGACATTTTGATCTGAACGACGCGTTTTGTCGCAACCAAAATATTGCATAACTTCGCCGTGGCCTGCGGCCTTCGGACGGATTTCCCGCTTGGTCCTCCGCTGCTTGGTCGGACTAAGATCCGCTTCCAGGCCCGCATCTAGAAATCTGCTTCTCGGATAAGCCTGCTCAACGCGACACCGGTCCTTTGCAAATACCAGCTCATAAGCACGAGCAACGGTGCATCAAGCTAGAGGAGCCACGCTGCCCAAAACCTCGCTGCAATCTGTTGCTGGATCAAACGCAAGATAAAGCACTAGCGCAGCGCTGCGAAGGAGAAGGTTCTGTACCCCGGGCGAGCGGCGGTACCTGCAGCGGGTTTCACGACACTGGTGTTACAGCAAAAACGTCTGCCAGTGAGAGTACTATGACTACTTCTACTGCAAAGACGTATACACAATACGAGTGCTCGACGGCAAAAATGGTGCTTCAAAAAACGTACACCCCTCGTCACTTCTATTGCAAACACGTATACAGACCTTATTTAAACATTGTATTCATTCTACAAAGACTTGAACGCGACAATAGTGTTATACGTCAAAGCGTCTGCTTCGAAAACGTATACCCGTCATCACTTCTGCTGCAAAATTTGTACCGTCATTACTAATACACATAACTTCTACTGCAAATAGTTATAAACGATATTACTTATTCTGCCAACACTCAAATGCAACATTGCTTCGACTACAAACATTTTTGCACCCCACGGGTGCTGCATAGCAAAATGCATGCTTTTAACATTTGTATACGTCACTATTCCCACTGCCAAAACTTATCATACAGTATTCGCGTAAATGCTGCGTTGCTTCTACTGTCAGTCCTTTACACGGCAAAATTGCATTTGAAAAACTCTTGCCCGTCAATATTTCTACTACAAAAGCTTGTACGTTCTTTAGGCATGCGAGACATTATTTCTTCTGTCCATAGTTGACGCGAGATTAGTGCTATATAGAAAAGTGTCTGGTTGAAAAAAATGTATGCACTTATTACTTCTGCTGCGAATATATGCATAGTTTTCGTTGAACATTACTTCTGCTCAGCCCTTAGAAGCGGCATGAGTGCTACACGACAAAATATGTGCTTCCAAACCTTTAACCCAGTACTATTTCTACTGCAAGAACTTCTGGTCCTTGCTTACGCGCTACATTACTCCCTCTGCCACTACTTATATGCGACAGTAATGCGAAACGATGAAGCTTATGCTTCAGAAATGGTAGCTGCCTGTGCCTCTTTCGACTGGTAGAGCCCCGCCAAAATCTCGAAAGGAGCTTATGCGGGGGAGCAATGGCAGGTGCCTGATCAGACCAGGGGTGGCCTGTCTGCAGAATCCCATGCGAAAGCCACGACGCAACGGAACGGAACTGAGTGGAACGCGGCCGATCAGGGCAAAACAAAATAGAGCAGGGCCAGGCAGTGGAAGACCGAGCAGACAACCGTAAGGGTTAGGACGGGACGCGGGCCTGAACAGTGGCAAATGATACGCCTTCTCAAGGAGACTTAGAGCGCGACAGTGCAAAGGGAGACATGTTTTTCACTGTCCTTTGTCCTAACCCTTCCCTGGCCTGCGATGTTTTCTGTCTCGTCCTGTCCTCTGATCTGCATTGTCCTCGATTCCGTCCTGCTACTCGTCTTTCCCTGTCCGATTTTTCGCCCTGCGTGATGTACTGCCCTGCCCAAATCTGCCCTACCCTAGGGCGGGCGAGAAGGCAAAAAGCTCCGTCCCATCCTTCGCCCTTCTTTCCTGTCTTCTGTCCAAACTCTGTGATATCCTTTGTGCAATTCTTTGCTTTGTCCTGTTTGTTGCACATCATTGAGTGGCCATCTGTAGGCTGATGAAGCTCATGAAAAGGCTCCCATGTGTTCGCCCCCTCCGGAATTTGGGTGAAGGTCAAACTATGACTTAAGTTTTCACGGATATATTTTGTAAGGTATGTGCACAATTGTCGGGAATAACATAAATGCTGCGCATAAGTATTGATGGCACAAAGTAATAATGCTTACAAGCAAAAACCACATACGTTTTCACAAAAGTCACCATGACGCATTATAATTATTTTAAGTATAAGTTTTTCAGGTATGACTCATGTCATATGACGCCTTTGCATCAGAAGTCACGTTGCGTATAAGTAAAGGTTGTAAAACGTTCTGCAATGGAAGTAATGATGGGTATCTTTTTGTGAGTAGATATTTTGTCGGGTAGCGTTCGTATCGTGCGAGGTCTTTGCAGGAAAAGTAATGTCGCGTAGACCTGATATTGCAGCACTCCTGTCGGTAGAGTTTTGCCGTAGCTCTAATATTGTGGTACGCTTGCAGCGATGGCGATGGTACAAAAGCTCTGCTCAGGCTTCAACGCATCTGTGTACCAGACTTCACCGTGGTGGGTGTGACCGGTTCTAAACTTGCTGTTGACGTACACAGACCGCAGCCAAGGATTTCCCTCCCCCCCCCCCCCTCTATTCGAGAGCGTTTGGTGGGGTTCTTGGATCATGCATCGGGATATAAGTATACCAATAGTACTGTCCCTCTTCTATTAAGAAATCCCGGCCGCACACCTACACATGTATACAGATGAATAGACAGACAGCGGGAAGGCCTTGACTGTTGATATGTCGGATGTCAGAATTTTAGGCAAACTATTGGAACACGACTCCAACTTGTGTAAATGTTCCGTGAATGTGAAATACAGCAAATCGTGCATTTAGGGTGGGAACACCACCAGCATGTCCTAGTGGGCCAGGTGCATTCCTTTTCATTTGCAAGTACCTGCAGTTGTAAGCTTACGCCACTTAAAA